TTGAGATCTGGACGTAGCCTTTTGAAGATCGGTGCACTGTGGTCATAAACGCAACGCCATGAAACCATTACATTACCAGCTGCCTCAATGTTTGACATAAGGACGTATAGATTTCTTTTGCAGCCTCTATTTTTACAACCTTATTTTGTGGCATAAGCTGAGGGCTCCGGCCCCCGTTAGGATGCTATGCTGCTGTAGCCGCTTTGTTTAAAAGGTTTGTCCTGTTTTGTTTGTTACATTAAACATGCCTCAGTTCTATCGAGTGGTTATGCACAGAGAGTAGAAGCTGTCCCATCCTGTCTACAATGCTGTGTTTATCATGACTGGATCCCCCTTTTTTTCCACTCCGCTATTTGTTTGAACAGTTGTGTACATATTAAAGAGCCCGGTGAGTTTTGGTAGGAAATGTTGTTAATAGACCTTGTAAACATTGTAAACCTACTTCAACAGGTTTAATCAAACATCTACAACAGTCTTTTATTTTCTCTCTCGTTACTTCCTGGTTTATGCAGGTTTGTAGTTCCCTGCTGGTACTCATGGGTTAAACTTAACGTCAAAGTAATACGAGAGCTAAACAATGATGTCATTTATTGTCCTCCAACACGTCTATAATTATAACCAAGGGGAGAGGTGGCTATCTGCCTCCCCATGAGTTTGTATCCCCGTGTCTGTCTGTGTGTTAGTAAGGAGGGTTTGCTTGGCCTGCAGCTGCCTAAAAATGAAGGAAGAATCAGGAGGCAAAAATAGTCCGACATGAAAGAGGATAGGAGAGCAGGAAGACTAAAAAGCAGTTTAGTCTCTCGTTTGCAAGACAATCTATCCAATCATGCCAAAAATCTAAAGGCTTTATTGCTGTCAGGGTTGATCATTCTTAAGGGCAGAGCCAAACATAACAGAGACAAGGGAGATGTGATTGAATAAATTGAGGGATGTGATATTAAAGGAGCATTTTACACTTGGTGGCTCACATTTAAAGTCCCACTTTTTTATGGTACTAATATAAGTCCAGCATTTCAGCCTTGATGTGCACTAAATTTAGCTTCTTTTTTATTTAAAGTTGGAGTAATTTAGATGAGTAGACCTACTAAGAAACCAGCTTGTATTCCTGAAGTCGGGAATGCACCTTGTTTTTGTTCTGGTCAACAACTGTTGATATTTCTCTCACCATGACGTATTTACTGGACTCTGATATCTTAATCACAAACTGTCAACAGGCTAAAACTGGTGCCTCTGTAGTACTTAAAGATCAGTCCATCCTTACATAAATTATTTCGCCCCAGGTTAGGTCTGGACTCAAATGAAATTCCCTTTGCTTCATAATGTGTCAAAGTAAATTTAAAAAAATTAATTGACTGTTTTTAATTTTTATTTCTATTGCATCTAAGATGGTATAACAAAGTATTTATAAGTATTTACTAGATTTATTTGTTTTGATTTCGTTTAAAAGATTGAAGCATAAAAGGATATAAAAAAATGTCTTAATTTGAACTCAGTAAAGCACGTTACCTCAGGCATTAAATTAGACTTTTTGCCAATTCAATAAAAATGTAGGCAAAGACAAGTTTGTAAAGTGAATTTTTAAAAGTAACAACCATCAAATCCACAATTAAAACCCAGGCTTTCCACAGATGGGAGGAGTACTAATGGGTGTAGTCATGTTAGCTATACGCGAAGTTGTGTCCACGGCCGTTGAGTTAGAAAAGCATGTTTTATCACATATATACATATATATATATATATATATATATATATATATATATATATATATATATATATATAAAAAATCAGGCTGTGTATCAATATTTAAAGCCTTTAAATATTGTTTATCACCTACAAATTTGGAATTGAGCTTTTTCCAAACTAAACATAAGGAAACACTGTTATTACAAACAAAACAAAACAGAAGAATTGTTGGTCACCTTTGCGTAGATGAAGAACTGGTTGCTTCAGTTGATCACGGTTGTGATGAGCGGCTCATGCCGTCAGCAGCCAGCTTTCGTACATCCTTTTATATTTGCTTTTTATCTTTTCAATATTGGAAATGGATAGAAATGTGTTTTACCTTCTACATACTTTGGGTAATGTGTCTCTGAATTGCAATGACAACATTTATCTCTTTTTATTACATATTTATTTTTTCCCTGTTCACTATACCTTCCTATTGCAAACTGCTTTGATTGACTTGTTGCTGGTGAGTCTCTAAGATTGATTGACAGGGGGGTGTCACATGAATCAGACTTTTCTTTCTGATATTCATCAGTTATAAGTAGCCTTGTGATATTATAATGGACAGCTTTAAGGCTTGCTACAATAGTAGCTTCCACACTAAATGGTGTTGTCTTTATAGCTTTTCCTGGAAGTGTTTACATATGGTACACTCACTCAATGGAAAAAATAAATCAAACTTGACTTTCTTAGTTATACTCACAAGATTCTGTATTAGCTTCCTATATGTTCAGCTGCACCACTAACTTGCCCCATTAGAGCATTGAAAGGTTTGCCTGTTTGGCTGTTATCAGCCGTTTCGCTTTAGGATTCAGTATTGATGGCTTTTCCTTTTAGCTTTCCCGTCCGTTTTCAGCACAGCATTAAATCTGAACTAATATTATAGATCATCCTTTTAAAAGTGCTTTTCCGAAGTCTTAGGAGTAAAACATGACCTGCTGATGGCGTTTGAGTCAGCAGTACTTGAGTAAAATCGTTATGATGTGGTTCTAGCTCCAAAAACATAAGGAATGCTGTCGATCTTCATTTTGAGTTTGAATTACTTGGTTTGTACGTTATTGTCTTTAACAGGGCTTATATAGCACCGTTGGTCTGCCTCTCTCTCCCACATAGTCCCAAAATAAAACTCGTTGGCCTCATCCCTCCCACAAGACAACATATGGACCTCTTTCCCTTAACTGTCATTTGTTTTTAAATCCTTATTCCTCTACTTTTGTTAATGCTTAATCTAGCCTATTGCATTTTATTTAAGTCAACAATGTCAGCATGAGGAAGTTTGTGGGGGAGGCTGAGATGCAGACGTTAGATTACACCATCTGGAACTAAACACCCCACACTAAGCTGGTGGAGTAGTGATGAAGGTTCAGGGGTGTAAAAACGCAGAGTAAAGTTATTTGGGACTTTAATCAATTTCTTCTGTGGATGACACTGCGCCATCTTTGCTGGTGGGAAAACATCTGAGAGGATTTCTGTCTGTATGTAACAGCCTTACTGGATATATGTGTGCACAGCACTGTATTCCAGTGTGACACTGTTCACAGCATAGCCGGGGTGTGTCGTCACCCTGGAGCCACTCGTCCTCTCCTCTGACCCTGATCCACATCACCTGTCGGCTCGGATCACACACATGGAAATACATAGACACACACATACAATCACCATGACCCTTTCCTGGAGCTGAAACCCAATCACAGTTGCCAGCCATGCAAAACTTGCCAGCACAGCAAGGTTTTGTTTTCTTTTTCCTTGCTTGATCTGAAGGGTGACCGTCTACTGCAGAATCAACTGAAGCCATTTTAGTTTTTAATGTCTGTACAGAATGTTTTTAAAGTATTTTGAGCTTTCCTAGAGCTAGAGCTAAATTGCTCTGAAAAGATACATTTATTGTTCTTGAAAGAATATTAAAGATTAAACTAAAGTAATTTAAAAAGACTTAATTGTTCATGAAATTGAGATTTCAGCTTGGTTTCACCTCAGAACCAAAGGTGGAGGCGAGTGGTGTACACTCCTCAATGAGTCATAACTATTAAGCCAGACTTAACACTGAACTCAGACCTGTCCTCTAAAGCAGAGGTTCTCAAACCTTTTGGGTTCTGACCCACATTATAGTTCTGGAGTGGATTTCTGCCTCAAACTACTGTCTGAATTATAAATATTTCTAAAACCTCTGGTATAATAACAGAAATGGCATTTATTTAATTTTTATCTATTTCCAGCTTTTGTTTTTATGTCTTTAAAGACATAAATTATTCATCTTAATAATGTTTGTGTTTAGTTTTAATTTCTGTAGAGGATTCAGGACCCCATGCTTGTTAATCCACAACCCCTTTGGAAATTGATTCTCTAAAGACTCCAACTGTTCTTGAGGCTTGGGTTACATGAGTGGCTTTTACTGTGTTTTACCGAGGAAAAGATAGCTGGCCAATAGATGACTTTTCAAACGTTTCTGTATATGTTAAAAAATGAAATAAAAATAAACAAAATTGCAGGAGCCTGGACTACCTCGTATCAATCTCTTCACATTAGCTATAGCGTAATGAGAATGGCCTCACAGATGTCTGACACTAAATTATTCATTACCTTTAAAATCCTATCACATTTCTTTCTAAGGTTTAAAAAAAAAGAGTCCCAAAATCTGCAGTGCGGCATCAGTCTGTTAAATGGTAAATGGCCTGTACTAGTATAGCGTTTTCCAGTCGGGGGTCTTGACCAAAGCTTTCAGTTATTCACCCATTCACATACATCGTAGCCACAGCTGCCCTGGGGCTCACTGACAGGAGCGAGCTGCTGTCCAGTGGCGTCAACCCTCTGGTTGCAGGGCAAACTCTGAAAAAAATCTTTAAAGGCCACTATATTGATCATTTCCTTCCCTCCCTAAAATACAGATTCTTATTCTCGTTATGAAAAATGACATACAAACTGGAGACAGCAGCAAAGCACCTCTGCAGATATATATAAATGGTGTGATTTTGATCATGTGAAATGCTGTTTTTTTTTTTTCTGTACAGATTAATTCTGAAATGATAAATTTTAAAAGCACAAACTTTGCAAAAATGTTGCATCAGCTCAGTTACACACATCTTGTTACTACTCTTACAGCTTTTTAGCATTCGTTTAAGGCAACAATTAGCATCTGAAATCCGATTACATCCGCCACAGTGTGACACATTACTTTTATCATATATAAAACCTTTGTTTTTGATATCTGGAAAATAATTTTTATTCCTGCAATTCATCACACTACCTAACACTTGCACCGCTATCTCTCGCTGCAGGAGACGAAGTCATCTGGTCGATACAGCATGTCCCGAATGAACTCGGGATCCACGGCCACGTCAGAAGAACAGCCCCACATCGGTAACTATCGGTTACTGAAAACCATCGGTAAAGGCAACTTCGCCAAGGTCAAACTGGCACGACATGTCCTCACTGGAAAAGAGGTAAGCATAAACAAACACACAATCTGGCAGAGGTTTATTTAACATGTTTTATTTATTTGATTTTATATCTTATTTTGAATCTTGTTGGGTTCAAGGATATGGACGAGCTCCCTCAATAATGTATTGTTTTAACAATTTTGCTATTTTCAAAGCAACATATCTTGGCATTTTTTACATACAAGTTCAATGTATGTATAGAATATGTATTTAGAAAAAAAATAGATACCCTTGTGTTATCAACTTAACAAAAACATGTTGAGCTGCAATGATCTAAAAACTGTATTTTTAATTCAACTGCAGTTTAAGTGCTGTACTTTGTTTATTTTTTATTTAAATCTTTTTTTTTTTTTTGTTACTGTTAATATACTTGGTTCCTATTTTTATCCACTCCAGGCCATTGAACTGTTTATAACTCATAGCAGTAATTTTTATGGATATTTTCAGTTTTTTTATTTCATGTTTTGTTATATAAAACTAAGCAAACAAACTTTCCCTTCTGTGCTGCTTAGTTAGTTGAAGGTTGTGTTTAGGTTTGTTTTTTAAATGCAAGTGTTTGAAAGGAAAAACATTTAAAAGCTTTTTTTCTTTTCTTTTTTTGCCAAGATGTGATGTTTGCAAAAAATGACACTTTTATTGCTTCTTTGTGTTTCTTTAATTTTTTTTTAAACAACAAAACTATATTTAATCCAGATGTTATGAGTCTTTGACAGCTCAGCGGAATACAAATCTGGACACAGATAAAATTAGGTTAAAAAGCATTCCCAGATTCGATTTTAAACAGCAGATCTGTTCTAACGTTCTCCTGAGTAACAACCAGTGGTGCATTTCCCACCGTTTGAAGGCTAATTCTACAGCAAACAGATATTCTTTGGTTCAATTCAAAGAATATCTGTTCAAAATCGAATGTCTACTCATTGTAGATGTTAATTGACAAAATCCATGTAGCTTCCATGCTCACACCATTTTTTTTTTTACTAACTAAAGCGGTGAATACTTATTATATACAGTAAATAAGTTATTTTGAGTTATTAGTGAAAATAACCAAGTTAAGGTTTGACTCTTCTTTATTATTTTAAGTTGAAGCTAATCAAATAAAAACTTTTCAAACTCATTGCAGATGTTATTATTTTACATTAGGTTTTAAAACTATTATGTGGTTGTGGTAAATAACCATGGCCACAGAAAGCACAGATGGATTTAACGCGTTAGCTGTAGGGGAATTGTCAGATAAATGGAAACTTAAACTATTGTTGAGAAAAGTACATTTGACTTAATATATGGATGTGATGACTTCCCCTTCTTTAGTATGATTTTTAGCCACATGAGGTTTTATCTCTCCAAACTATGTAAAAACAAAAACATGAGGCTCTGATGTTTTCTTAGATGGGATGGATAGAATAGGAGTTGATGCTGAATGTATGACTGAGTTCTCAATGTTAAACTGGATTCCTGGTTGCTAAGGATACAGAAAGGCTCACAGATTTGATACAGAGCAAGTTTGATCTGGTCTAAAGCTTTGCAGAGAGATTGTGCATCGACTGCAGCAGATTGTATCACCATTGTGAGGCTGAAAAGAAAAGCTTGAATGTTTCCGGTTTCCTCTGAATCACGGTTGTGATGTAAGCTGGCGATCTGTCCCTTTAAGGGGTGAAAAGCTGAGCCCATGTTGGACTATGGTCCAATGCCCAGTCGAGTCAGCTGTTGATTTCTTTTTTTTTCATATGCAAGAAAGAGAGCAGGGGGCGGGCTCTGTCAATATGTGACAGCCCTGTGCCTGACACCCTGATAATACTCCACGTGACCCGCTGGCACACAAAGAAAACAAGGGAGTCAGACAGGCACAACCAGAAAGAGGCCTGAAAGAAAGGCGTTAGTTGACAGAAATATCAGGGAGAAGTAGACCTCCCTGTTCTTTGCTTCTGAAGAGACAATTCTTTGTTGCCCTGCCTTTGTGCTCTGTTCTCTTGTTCAGCTCTCATTTGAAATCCCTCCCATTTCTCAAATTTTTTTTGTTTTCTCCTCCTCCTGTTTCATTTCTTTTTCTTTCTCATATCTTTGTTGCTTTGTTGTTCAATGCTAAAGGATTATAAACTGTAGGCTAGGCTATCTGTGAGAGCATAACACCATCCTTCATCCTCTTGTGTCTGTTTCTCTCCATTTTGTCTTATTACGCAACCGTAGCTTTTTGTGATTGTGTGCTAATACTGCTGGCTTGTATGGCTCTAGTGATACGTGTCTAAAAATGATAACAGCGTTGAGTCCATTTGTGTTTTCTCCACGATCACAAGCTGGGCTTTTTAAGTGAGATTCATCAGCGCTTCATGTGTAATAAATGAAATAAAGGTGTAATAATCAGCTCACACGTTGTGGTTTTGCTTCCAGGTGGCTGTAAAGATCATAGATAAGACACAACTCAACTCCTCCAGTTTGCAAAAGGTGGGTCTCCAAAACTTCTAACTCCTCCAGCACACACTCACAGGGGAAAACACTCCCTCTTTTCTATTTTTTCCCCCCCTCAGTAGTCCCTCTTCCCGCCCCACATGTCCTCCTTTCTCCCTCTCTCTCTCAGAGCGTCTCGATTTGTCTGAAGTGGTCCAGCTTTCAGAGAGAGTTTTAATTACAGGAAACAAGCTGCAATTACTTCCTTTGATCGTGGCAGGGTGGGTCTGTCCACTTAAACAGACACAGCCCAGCCGTGTGTGCCCGCACAAACACGCACACCAAGCTCTCATCTAGCGTCTCTATCCTCCATAAAATAGACACCAGTATCCAAATGCAGAAACCAAGCACAAATGTAGAGACGGCAGAGTGACGGAGCTGAAGTAAATCATTTACAGTAGGTCACGTGGTTCCTACAGAGGAGAAGTCGTTGAACCATGCTTGTAATTTTTAGAAGTGAAAGCGATTTGATGTTATACTGAGTAACATCTCAGAGGCCTACAGCAGCTATTTTCAGCTCCTAATGGAGAGAAATAAAGTGGTAATTTTCACATGACTGAAGTCACATTCAGGTTTTTAATTTCTGCATTGGACTACATTAAAACTTTCATACTCTGATACTCTGTTAAAGTAGAGTTTTACTAAAATATAGTGTATTTATTTTATTCTTTATATATTAGCATCCTTAAACTAACAGAAGGCTTTCTAAGGTTTATTGCTAATGTGTCTTTTGGAGCTGGATCGGTTTACCTCTATAAAATGGAGGACTTTCAGAACATATCCACACCTCAGTTTAAAATGACACAACTGCAAATCTAAGAGTATTCAAAGAGTATATTATACAGTGAATCATGTTAAAGTATTGCATGACTATCAAAAGCATCTTAACAGCCTTTATAGCTCTGGTTGTTTTATGGGAGTCAACCCGCTGGACGTTGAACCTTTCCTCCAATCTCAAGACTTAAGCACCCTCTAACAGGTGTTTGTTCACTGTATCTGTTTTTCAGCTCCATATATCTTCCATTACTGAACTCAAGCTATCCCCTTTTTTTAATTGAAGAGAAGCCTTCCCTTACCATGCTACTGCCACCACATTGTTTCACCCTGGGCATGAATGTTCAGGAATCTTCAGGTGTAGTGCACTAAAATGTCAACAACAAAAAAAAGATGTTTTTCAAACTTTACACATTTACTTTCTGAGCTGATCGTTTGTTTTTAAAGTATCGTTATCCATCCACACTGAATGTGGTCTATACATCCAACATTTTCAGTTTTATTCCTGCTTTGACACATAATTATCTCCCCACTTAATGATAGTACAGTTGTATCATAATTACTGTTGAAGCTGTGAAGGAGCACAACAGAAATGATCCTGTCATCATAATCAGCAGATGAATTTCCATGAAATGAGGGTTGGATGATCCTGATTTTACTCTTGGTAGCTGACATTGGTTACCTAGAATATTTAAAATTTGGAGCTGGTCAGGAAATGCCTCGGATCTTTTCCACCGCCTAGTTAGCAGAAATAGTCAGGAGGCACAGAAAATACCCTCTATTAGAGATTAAAGCCTCTGCTTTGGTTAAAGAATGGTCATTTATATACTCAACTAACCTCTGTGGATACAGTGACTTAGGAGTGCAGATCTTTCTGTTTTTCTCCACCAATTGTCTTTGTGACATCACTTCTTGTAAAATGTTGAGCAATAACTTCTTTGTTTTTGGAAATTAATTACATTTTTCATGTTTTCTTATTTTAAATTTTAGATCTTTGTTGATAAAAACTCAAACCTGTGTTGATTTTTCAAAGTAAAACTTTCTTTTTTTTTCCTGTAAGGTCATTTATAATTGTTCTAGTCATATCTATTGGAGTTTTATCTGTGTATATACAGCAGGTCATAAAGCAGTTTTAGTTGGATCTCAGTGTCTCATATTTCCTCACGTTTGGTTAAAATCCCATGTTTATAAACGGAAAGCTATTTGCTTTCTTTTGCCTTTTAGTGCAAATATTCACATGAATCAGGGAAATATTTAATGCACAGGTCGATTAGAATTTATTTTATTTCCACAACTAGATGAGAGAGACATTATGTCTATCCACCCATTCATTGCAAACTCTTGTCTAATAGTTTAAGACTCTTGTCTTTAAACTATTAGAATTGATTAGAGAGTCTAAGAAGACTACAATTTGCCTGCATAAGTTTTAGATGTAAAGAAAACCTGAAGCAGCCCCAGATTTAACTAAGAGTGAACGAGCACTAAATAAATGGAACCCACAAACCTGGGCCTTTGCTCTGTGTTGTGCCATTCAGTGATTAATGACTTGCATGTGGCTCGTTTCTCGCAGCTCTTTCGGGAGGTGAGAATCATGAAGATGCTGAATCATCCCAACATAGGTGAGTCACCCTAAAACGCGAGGGCCTGTCCTGTCGTCACACTAAATAATTAGACCCCATTTGTCTTTCAAGGTCATATTTGATGCAGTGCTTTTCTTTGCGACCTTAATCTGAATTTCTATCCCATTATGTCTGTCATGTTTTTAATTCCCCCTTTTTTGCTCTACTCTTCTTTTTTCCACCTACAGTCAAGCTCTTTGAGGTGATAGAGACGGAGAAGACTTTGTACCTGGTAATGGAGTATGCTAGCGGAGGTAAGAACATGTCTCTGTAAAATCATTGACCCAGCAAAAGCTTAGATCGCCGCATGTTATATAACGAGCTAACAGATCTATCCAACAGAAAGTAATTAATGTTTGGGCTGCTTCCTCATCTAAGCAGTTCTGGGATTAAGGATTAACCCGTTGACTCATTGAAAAATACATCTAAAAAAAGCAAGACCTCTCAAATCATCAGCACTTAATGTTGTCACCTTTTTTTTCTCATTATTTTTGTCTCCTGTTTTCTAGGAGAGGTGTTTGATTATCTGGTGGCCCATGGCAGGATGAAGGAAAAAGAAGCACGTGCCAAATTTAGACAGGTAAAGATGTTCAATTCTGAATCTTTGACACATTTTTTTACTCCATTTTCATTTAAAATATATTAAGTACAAGGTAAATTTATGAGTAAGGTGTAAATGTTTGTAAAGTTTAGAAGAACCTTTTATCTTCTCTGCTTCTTCAGACTGTGTTGATTTTAATCTTTCACACGAGTCCCAGAAACATCAGGCTAAATGTGTTAAAAACCCAAGCAAATTGACATGTATGTGATTCTGATGTGGAAAATTTGAAGTGGTATGAATACTTCTGCAAGGCACTCTGGGAGAAATGACATTACATAGTTTAAAAACTAGCTTTTGAACTAAAGTGGTAAACCTTGTGTCCGTTTTTTTTTCTCTAACTGCTTCCTGATTAAAGCCTAATGAAGCATTCTGCCATTGATTTAATTGTGTAACAGTTTGACCCTGAACGTCTTGTTGTCCTCTCTCCCTCTTTCTTTCCTCTCACCAACTTTGTCACCCTCCAGATCGTGTCAGCAGTGCAGTATTGCCATCAGAAATGTATAGTACACAGAGACCTCAAGGTGAGAGCACACACATTGAACAACGGGTTATTCTGTGTGAAGAGAAGCATTCTCATCTCTGAATTTATTCATCTTTATATGATTTCATTTTGGAGACTAAATCCTAGCCCCCACAAACGAGTGACCCTGAAGTTAATCACAAAGATTACATAAAGGCTCTCTCCGTGTTGGGCTTTAACCAGGACTACTCACAGCCATCTATGCTCTCTCGTGTATCTGTGTGCTCGAGCTGCACATTGGTCCGTTTTAGGAATAACGATTGAGTTCTATTTCTGTTTAATTCACAGAATTTGGAGCAAATACGGCGTAACAGCTTGCAGGCTGATCCGAGTCTCCGGGTCGTTTTAGTTCATCGTGTTGTGCAGCGTTATAAATCCTCTTATTGTGCCAGAAGGCAGACGTGTAGACATTATCATGATTACTGCCATAGTAACCTCAAAGAACCTCAACTATAACAGGAGGCTTTTGGTCATTTTATTATGCTTTTGATTGATGTTCAGTCTTTCAAACTATTCAAATTGTAGACAGATGAAATAATTGGAGGGCTCTTCTGATCATTATAATATTTAAAATGTGTAAAATCCCTTACTTGATCTGTAAATGCTGAGATACAAGAATGTTTCTAGTCTGTTACGTACCATTTGCTCTTCTACTCGGTTTACCCCCATATTTACTGTAAACTGCAGCATCAGTGTCACATTGACCTTAGCGGGTTATAAACGGCTTTTCATACGTTTGTTACATGCTAATGAGGTTTTTATTCCATGTCCTGTTTCAGTCATTTTCATCTTATATTTGCAGTTATCAGGTTTAGATTTAGTTACAGTTTATAATATTTTGCTGTGTGTTACCCAGATGGTTTAAAACCGAAGGTTTTAACTCTGAGATGCTTTTGTAACCCTGAAATGTTTAGAGCTTTGCAATACATCCACTTTTATTGTTTCAGATAGGTTGTGCAAAAATTTGACAATCTCCATAAGGGATCAACCCAACAAAAAAGAAAAAGAAAAAAGATACATAAAAAGTGATCAACCTATTAGAGCACCTCTAACCTTTTCTAGAAAACAGCCCACATGCCGTTGTTGAAAAGAGTCTTCCCTTGATTGCAACATCCACACAGAAGAGTGGAGCAATTCCATTTAAGCTGTAACCAGTAGATATGCTAAAAAGATTTCCTCATTTCCCAGTCACTGGAAATGGTCAGCTTGATCAGGTTAGAAAAAACAGGATTAGTTAAACCTGTTTTTAATCTGATAGTTTATCTTAACGTGGATCAGATTGTTTAGTTAGCATCCAGTTGAAAGCTGGTCAGGTAATTAAAATCATCCAATTGTAGCTTAAAAAGACCAAATTGTGTGCTGCTTGGTTCCTGCTGTTCAAACTCGGAGCATCGCCCAGAGCTTTCCTTGCTCACCAGCTGCTGCTCACCATAAGTCAGCTGTGTTTGATGGCTGACAGGGGGAAGAACATTACACATATCAGCCGCTTTGTTTTTAAAATTCAAACCATCACCCATCACAGTTTTATATTCACACAATTATATTTACCGTTACTGTCTGGTATTTGTTATACTTTCGTTTCTCTACCACCATCTATATCTTTCCTGTAAAATATCGGTTGCGATAAGCTGTTAGCTAACTGCTGCTTTAGCTCTCTGAAATTATATTTCTTGATATTTGATATCAAATTAATATTAATTTGTAATCAACAAAGCTCAGCTATTCATGAGTACATAAAATTATAACCGCAGTGACAGTCAAGCCATCTGCCTTTTTTCTCTCCATGTGGACATCTGCATCAAATATAGAAATATAAATAAAACATAATAATTCTGTAGTGCTGTTTTAATAGTACTAGATCATGCTGTATTTTCTTTATATTTTGGTTTAAGGATAGACAGTCATAAACCCAGATGCATAAAAAAAAAAAAAAGAATTGATCGGTCTCTTTCATTTTCAGATCAGAGCTCCGAGACCACGTCCGTTTAGTAGTTCATGCTCATTCACCCAGAAACGCACAGAAGCTGCCGAGCATTCAGAGCAAATGAAAAGGAGAGCACACCTGTTGCTAGGCAACCCAGCCTCCTTACTCAGTGGTTAGCTTTAGGCTTAAAGATAAAAAGACGCACAGAAAGGTATAAGCAGTGGCGGCTCACTTTGCCCATTGTGCGCCGCCTCACGGCCCCAGACGATCACTTTGAACGAGCTTGTTTGATCCAATGTTACTCTTCAGGTTATAAAAAGGAGGAATATAAGTTTTTTCAGACTCATTTACAAAACTGTGAGAATTACTTTTCATTTGGATGATTGTGTGGAAGAAGTGGAATAAAACATTTTGTTTATATTGAGTATTGAAGCGATAATTGAATTGTTTTTTCTTTATGTGGGCCTCAGGCGGAAAACCTCCTGCTGGACGCAGACATGAACATAAAGATAGCCGATTTTGGCTTCAGTAATGAGTTTACGTTGGGGAACAAGCTGGACACTTTCTGTGGCTCCCCACCCTACGCAGCTCCAGAGCTCTTCCAGGGCAAGAAGTACGATGGACCTGAGGTGGATGTCTGGAGCCTGGGGGTGATCCTCTACACGCTGGTCAGCGGCTCGCTGCCCTTTGACGGACAAAACCTCAAGGTTGGGAGGAGAAGAGTGTTTGTTTTGTGCTCCTGTTAGTCACGCAAACATACGTCTGCATTCTGTGGGTGGTTGCAGTATTTCGCAGCTTGTTTCTGTTCCTTTTGGCCCATTAAATCCATCAGAATGGGATATATAGCTAATTGAATAAAGTGTATGGTACATATTTTTTTTGTACCCCTAAAATAAATTCATTTTTGAAAAGAAATGAAATTATTTACATTTGCATTTCCTGTTAAATATAATTTACCAAACTTGAATAAAAAATGTGACTTTTAGTTTTTTTGATAAGAGCCTCTAGGAACCTTTGATCGATAGTGACTGAGAAAGAGGCTCATCTCCTATAGCAACCAGGCACAGTATATTTTCATCTCATCACCAGACAGTGTAAAGGGATTAAAAAATAAAAATCTACTAAGTTACAACTCCAGTTGAAGGGAGAACCTCTGTCCTACCGGCACAAATCATCAAACTATAATTGGTCTTACTGAATAAGCCATGTGCTTCACTCGGATCAAAAGATTAGGCTTTAACAGCGGGACATCAACAAATATTTTTCAGATGCTTTTTGTGTTTTGGAAGAACTGTGAAGATATGGGGTTCCCAAAATAAATAAATAAAACTGGGAATCTTATTAGTTTTATAAAGTTCTGCATCTTTAGGAGATACCAGACTTTTTTATTCTCCCCCCTGCATCTAAATCCTATTTAAGATAAAATAATCTATATCACAATCTAAAAAGAAGAGTTAACACCCTGGATGATTGAGGGATGTCAAATTAATATTTTTAATTATTTTTTAATATCCACTTTGGTATCAAATCTTTAAAACCGTCAGTTTCGGATGTATAACTAAAACTTTTGATATTGCCATCACACTCGCATTGCTTTACTATCATAACCTGTTAGCATTAGTCTTTTAGTAGACTGTTATAAGTTCTATTTATTTCACAGTTTTAGCCACTTTGTTCACTTAAAAAAAACATATGTCTTTATTTTTTGACATTTTTTGGCTCTTGAGGGCCTTCTTACCTCAAGTTTGACATGATCTATAGGGATCTCCGTATAGCTCTGTAAAATGCTGCAGGACAGCAAAATGTGCTGGTTTATAGACACTGCTAAACTTTATTAAAAACAAACTGATAATAATAGATCTCCATTTTGTTCTTTTGCTTTTTCTTATTGCAGCTTTATTTTCTAACTAAATAAATAGTCATAGTTCGGTTTTTCAAACACTTTCAGCATGAGATTTATCTGCAGCAGTAGAATACTTATTTGTTGAGCTTTTTTATATTTTGTTGTAAAAAACAAAAAAACAAAAACAGATCTTAATCATTTACCACCACTGTCTTGGTTTTATTATGAAAGTAAACCAATCTAAATGCTGTCTATGAACTACTGAAACACAGACCACCTTTTCACCTTCAGAACTCCAATGACTCATTCTAGGAGAACTGACTGGCTTTAAATGTGATGAAATTGATTTTGTGTGCTAACCGCATTCTAGATATTGCCGTGTAAACATATGTTTACTACAAAGGGACTGCATCTATCTGAATTTTACTCACTCGGCTTGAAATGTTTTTATGTTGTGGTTTTTGTTGATGCAGACCTGAATTTGTTCACTTTTAGATTCCCTTTTAATTTCTCAAATCCGATTGTTTTGTTTGTTTTTTATAAAAGCAGAAAGAACCAAATACTTGTAGAAATACCAGAGAACTGGTTGTGCTTTTAAATGTCTTTTATTTTGAGGAATCGGTTTGTTTATTTTGAAATCAGCACAGCTTCTCAGACTGATCTGACCAGACCTGATTGTCTGCTTTAAGAATAACTACTTATTAAAAAAAAAAAGAAAAGAAAAAAAGTTAACCCCTTCACTTTAAATGTCTTTGTCACTGTGCAGGAGTTGAGAGAGCGTGTGCTGCGTGGTAAATACAGGATTCCTTTCTACATGTCCACCGACTGTGAGAACTTGCTGAAGAAGTTTTTGATCCTAAATCCTTCCAAAAGAGGCAGCCTCGAGGTAGGCAGCCATGCATCGATTCACACAACACACTGCCACCAAAAAAGTAAACAGCAAATCCCACCAATCACGATTTTTACTCATAATATAGGAAATATGATGACAAGCAGTTAGTTTTCCTAGCACACATGCTTACAGACCGTTTCATCAGCTTTATGTGGATATGTTGCAAAAATGTGTGAAGGTATAGTGTATACAGGCTGGCTTCTTTTTGGTCACTACTAACTGAAAAACAGTAGAAAACAAAAAGTTGATTTTTGAATCTTTATTGTGTCACATTTTGATTTATTAGAATAAATCCACGTAAATGCTTATTTAGTAATATCAAAGGAAAAAATACTTTCAGTTCCAGTTGTGTCTGAAATGCAGCTAATGTTAACCATGAAGATCTTTATAAGATGGGTTTTTACATCCAGTAAATGACACATTCTCCTCTTTTGCTTAGAAAAGTGTTTTCAAATTCGGTGCATGCTTAGAAATAAATATTCCTTTGTTTCTGATTCTAATAAGTCGTTTCGATAATTTATGTGAAAAGAATGAACAAAGAAATAACTTTTTTTATGCGCAGAGCTCCATAAAGTAGCTCTGTTCCTGTTTAAGCAACACTTAGTAACTTTTGACCCAAATATTAGCTTAATTTGAGACATGTTAAACGATTCTTCATGTTTTTGTACAGCACTTTGTGTACGTTGATGCTCCTCTCAAAAATTTGGATCTGTCCCTGAATGGGTCATGTGACAGAGCCTCACTTTACAGCGGTTTGAGCTTCACTTAAGCACAGAATATGACACTTATCTGATAACCTAGAGTTGTGTATGTGTCCTTGAATTTATAATTAACTCTATGACTTCGTATTCTCTTGGTTCAAAGTGGTCTGCTATTAGGCAGAATGTCTGTTTTCTGTTGCTTCCAAGGGCGTTAAATCTGGAAGCTAAAGATCTAGCGCCCCTAGAGGCTAAAACTTTCAGGTAGCTAGCTTTCAGCTTGAATTAGCTTTCGATAATTCAAACAATAAAATCGAATTTTTTAAATTCAAATAATGATTTTACTTAAGAGCAATCATTTTTGACAATTGACAATCAAATTTGTGACCTACACAATAATGAGGAAGTCGGCTGATGTGACAGCTGTACGTCAGACGGTCGTTGTCAACCAGCACAAGGAAAGTGAGAACAGCAAGCTAATTTGGCTCTGACCTTTTATGTCTGCGTCTCATATTCCTAAATATTATACTTACTTCCTACATGTGTGAAACAGAGAGATCCATTGTTGTGAGGCAACAGTGTAAACTACTAAGCTATCACAATACTACTAATGTATTGTCAGCTCTTTTAACTAGCACATTTTTATGACGTTCTTAATCAGGAATTAATTTTCAAAATTATAGTTTATTATAGGCTACTACCCGGATAGAGCGAGTGTTTGCAATGTAGACAACACAGGCGTATTAATGATGAACTGAATAGTTCTAGCACATATACAGTTAAAATTGACACTGCATAATAAACGGTTGAGTTTTTTTGTGTGACTGGATCAGATTATTTCTATTTTTGAAGGCTGATCTTTGCGTTCGATGTTTCCAAGCCAGTAGTTCAACACTAAATTCCATTATTTTTGAGAATGCTTGCATGTTGGGCACTTTTTTTTTGCCTAACATGAAAAACAAAAATGACCAAGATTTATTTATTTGTTTTCGTAATAACAAAAAAAAATAAAAAATACTCCCCGGTAGTCAAAGTAACTGAATGGAAACTGTGGAAACATCACATGGGAATGTATTGGAATGTTTAGTGAAAGAAAAAAGTATTTTAAAGGAAGGTGTGGATGCAAAAAGAATGCCTGTTTATGTGTAACTGAATTACATATATTCAACTTCAGTATGCCATAATCAGAAGTAATTATTGTAGATGAAAAACGTTCACTCTGTGTTTAATGAATCTATCAGATTTTTGTGGTTTAAATTCACAAAATTAATAAATAATTCTTATTAATTATTGATATGCACCTGTGTCAGCCTAGTTACGCCATTCTTTCCTGTTTGAAACCCTTAGTCATCCTGTATGTTTTGTTTGATCCCAGCAGCAGATAATGAGGGACAGATGGATGAATGTGGGCTACGAAGAGGATGAACTCAAACCCTACATCGAACCTCAGCCAGATTATAAAGATCCTAAGAGAACAGGTAGATAACAGCACAATCTGACCTACAAAAGCCAGCCTTTGTATCCTTTTTATGTGACAGATGGTGATTATAAATATAGCAAAAGGTTTTGATGTGTTTGCAGATAAAATGTTGAGGATGGGATATTCTCAAGAGGAGATCCAGGATTCTTTGGTGAACCAGAAGTACAATGAAGTTATGGCGACGTACCTGCTTCTAGACTATAGGAACTCTGAGGTACAGAGTACAGGTTCTTCTTGTATTTTAGGTCTCTGTTGTGTTCCTACTATTGGAACAGTATTTACATAAGAATCAAAAAGTACCAATAGTCCTTTTCGTAGTTTGTGTATGTGCCTGGTACTAATTTTGCTTTTCCTTCTAAGCTGGATGAACTACCCCTCAAAGCAAGGCCAGGAGCTGATCTCAGCAACACAAACGCCCCGTCTCCACCTCACAGGGTAAACCTTTTGATGCCACTCAACACAAATTGCTGACAAATCTCTTCTTAATGTGTTTTACAAGAAGAAAAAAAAGTTCTGTTTTGCTTGTTTAAAACAGAACCTCTAGTTTATTTTATTTGAACAGCGCATAAGTTAGTAGAGCTTAAAGTTAATTTCTTCATAGGAATTTTTGGATAAATGGGGGTTCATTTGACAGAAAGGAGACATAAAAGATAAAATGCTTGGGGTTAAGTGTACTGTGTATGGAAAATTGTTAACAAAGATTGTAAACAAAGTCAGTGATTTTTGTCCTGGTAGTAGGGAGATCTATAAATGGTTGGGGAGTACTTTCTATGTGCTAGAGTATTGCTAAATACTAAAGAAAGAAAGCCCTTAAGGTGCATTCAGACAGAGTGGTGTCCGTGGCGAGGGCAGCGGATTTACATAGTATCCCTATGCAAACCATGCAAGGGAAGCAGCGATGACTCCTGCGCGGTGAGGGCGTTCACTGCTCCACTGTCAACCCATGCTACTAGATAGCAAAGTAAAAATACTTTGTTACTGTACTTAAGTACAGTTTTTAAGTATCTATACTTTACTCCATTACTTATTTTTCTTTCTACTTCTGATTTCTACTTATTACATTTTTGCATAAATATCTGTCACAAATATTTATTTCACGTCATGTACTCCATCCAATGCAGATCATTGGCTCCATCCATATCTAGTGAAAACTAGTGTAATTGGATGAGTCATATAACACAAACACTCATTGGTTAGCTAAAGGAAATCATCAGAAGCAAGCAGGTGTTCTGCAAACGCGAATTGTCTATGCCATGCTACAATGTCGGATTCAGAAAAAGATGTTAAAATGTCTGAAAGGTCAGACACAGGCGAGAGCGTATCAGGAGATGGAGACCAACAAGACCTTCCTCATCCTTGGCCCTATCTCAATTTTTCGCAATAATAAAAAATTGAGCTTTCAATTCATATAGCAGCATCTGGCTGTTTTTTTTTTAAAGGTTACTTAATATTTTTATACTTTAAGTAGTTTTTGGAGCACATACTTTTTCACTTTTACTTGAGTAAAGAGGTCAAGTTGATAATTTTTACAACTTTTACCAGAGTGTTTTTAAACGGCAGTATCTATACTTAAGTAACAAATGTGTGTACTTTTGACACCACTGCTAGGTATAGCTGAGGTGCTTTAAAGCAGCAGCAGCACTGCATGGAAAGAGAGGAGCAGTGATTGCTGAAGTTTAAATGAACTGAACTATTCTATGAAATTGTGGCACGGCAGTCAATCAGGGACTGGTTGTAGGCAATGCTATTTTTCAATTACAATAGAATATAGAGGGGGAAAAAAAAGTTAAAATTAGAAACAAGGAATGTTCTCAATGTTTTTTTTTAGGTGGCTTTAAAAAAGCTGTTTTAATTCAGCTGTTCATTATCCCTTACCTCCAGCTCAGACCCTGGTCTGTTAATGCCCAGCATCTGTGCTTTCTGCGTGGGTAAATATACAAGGAAGTACCGCCAAATCCAACCATCCAGACGCAGCTCTGGATGAAACAAATTGACTTTTTTTTTTTCAGTGCTTTAGGGGCTTTCCAAAAAATTAATCGTAGTTCTACTCCCAATTATTCAATTTAGAGCTTAATGGGGGGATAGTTGACCTCTGAGGGGAAATATGCTGATGAAGGTTCTCAGTCATCCAGGTCATAGTCATTCCGTAAAAATAAAAAAAAATATCCACTGGACTCTGAGGGGAAAGTTGATATCTTTGATATCCCTATTTCAGTTTAACAAATAACATTTAACCGCACAAACCTGAGACAAAAAAGCAATAGCCAATCAGTCTATTTGCTCAGTTTTTTCACGTGGATGGTGTGTCAGCTTCACGCATCTGAAGCTCCTATTTGATGATGCGGTCGAGGGTGTGAACTCGACCGCATTGTTCAGATGTTCAGTGAACATCTGAACGGGGAACTACCTGCGGGGCTTGGTGGAAATCACCATGGACACCGCACTCGCTCTGAACGCACCTTCTGTCCATGAGAGATACAGTGTTGAGTGTTTTCTGTGCCAGTGGCACCTTCTATGGAAAGAGAGTTTAAAATCAAGCTTAACAAAGAGGCACTCTCCTTGGAGATAATAAAGCAGAGAGAAACATAATTAACATTATTGGCAGCAATGAATAGAGTTTCAGTTTTGACACCCTCAAACTCAGGTTAGTTTCATAGAGTTTAACATGTTATATAACATATTTTTATTTTAAGTAGATAAATGAAAAGCATTTTGTTTTGCACTCCAGTCATGCTCTCTTCATGCAACTTTGGATGGGTTCATGAGTTTGGTGAAAAGAGAGAAATCTGACCGATCTACGTTCCTGTTTTATATAACGTGATACCTGTGTTCCTCCTTCAAAGGTACAGCGAAGTGTGTCGTCAAACCAGAAGGCTCAGAATCGCAGAACCACTGAGCAGGGTGAGACTCTTTTGAGTTGTTTAAACATGGAGTGTGATGAGAGGTGTGAGAGGACAAAGGTGAATGGATTTTTTTTTTCCTGTTTTATGCCTCTCTCTCTGTGAGAGACAATGCTCGAGTGATGTGTGGGAAAACAGCGGTGTCTCAAGGAAGAAAAGGGGACAAATGAGCTTCAGGGCTGTATTGAACCTCACAAATTCAAATAATTTCACTCATTCTCTGTCCTCACATAGGCTCCTCCTACTCCAGGAGGGGAGGCCAGTCAGACAACCGATCGACAGCGGAGGATTCTGGGGGAAAAAGCTCATCAGGCAGCTCCACCACCAGGGTCGGGGCCAGTCCGCTGGTCCCATCAGATCGTAAAAAGAGTGCTACGCCTTCCACTGTGAGTCCTGCCTTCCACCGTTCATATTTCTCTCATTGGCTAAGAAGGAGAACAGCTTAAAAAAGAAAACTCTGGCAGCATTGGCTCCTTACTAGTTCTACCAAGTAGACGGAGCTAAACACAGAAGCAGCAAAGCAGCGAGTACTTTCTAAGCAAAAGAGGAGAATGTGTCATTAATTAGAGAGTATTTACAATGGCTTTGAGAAAGACTGAACAAGAAAAAAGGCTGACACATGAGTACAAGGCCATCCATACATTATAGGGACAGAAAATTTGAAATTATGAGAATTTGACTGAAAAAGCAAGCAAGAGCCTCGCTTCTTATATCATCTCCTGTTTCTCTCCGTCTCTGCAGAATAGCATCCTTTCCACCGGTACCAGCCGTAGTCGGAACTCTCCAGTGACTGAGAGAGCCACACTTGGTCAGAGCATTCAGAACGGCAAGGATAGGTACGCACACCCTCAGCCTGCTTTACTATTTTAATGTCTTAGGAGAAATACACCCACATAGTCCCCCAAAGGAAGGCTGTACCGCTCCCCTGCTACTGGAAGGCCCTTACGCTGGTTTGTGAATGAAGCCATGTCGGTCGCTGATCCCTGGACCTTGGCTGGTGCCAGCTGGCTCAGGGAGGAGTAGGCCCTTCCAGGACGTGAAAATAAGGCCCTCCTGGGAATTTAGGCCAAACCTTACATTACAGATCTCCCAATGCTGATCTTATAGAGGCCTACCAGTAAGAGCAGAGAGTTGTAGGGATACAATCCTTACACAGTAAAAGGATTCACAAGTCTATAATATTAGGTTATGAAACGGGCTTCCCATTTTCTTCCCCTGGGATTGGGATACTCCCTCTCATTTTGCTCTTTCTAAATTTAGCTCGCGCTTCCAACTCTTCCTTCGTTGCTTTAGGCCTTTCCAGTTCGGACAAAAAATACCTTTTGTCTGCACTGGAACTAGAAATTTGTAAATGCAGTTCGGTAATTATTTTGTTCCCATCATCAATGGTGCGTCAAGTTTTCGTATTTACACCATTCATGCCCACACATACAGCTCATGCTTAACCAGTCATATGCTTTGTGTGCTTTTTCATGAGCATCAAACATTACAGCCAAACCCTAATCCCAGCGGTGACACAGCGTTCATACTGCTTTATTACTGTTCATGTTGTTGGTCTCTAATGATCCTTTCAATCCCAGCACAGTACTTTATCTACAAAAAAACAAAAAGTGCACAGATATATCTGATTAGTTTTTCACTGATTGATCCCATTTGTTGTTTCATTTCCTCCATCAGTACTGACTGGTGATGAAGGGCTCATTGGAGACCTCATTGCTTAATGTTTTTAAATTACTGTGGGTCTGTTAACTATAGTGGTTTCTGCTAACATACTGGTTATCATCTGCTTTTTATTTTGAAGTTGCATTATTTTTTTTATGTTCATCATTAATGCTTTGAAGTTTGGGCTTTTTTTTTTTTCTTCTACCCCTCCCACTCTGCCTGCCTCTCTCTTCTTCTCAACTCTCCCTCTTGGCTTTTTCTAATGTTCTTAATTTGGTCTTCTTTTATCCGAGCGCTTATCCCTGTGGACCCAGAGTTTCTGACTTTTCTCCGACTCCTCCTTTCTTTGCTTCCTTCAGTTCTCCTTGTCTTAATATTAATCTTTCTTCCTATTTCTCTTCCCTCCTCTCTCTTTTTAAGGGGATTAGCATAACTTGTAAATGGAATAATTTCCTTCTACTTTTTGGAAGAGTCACGGTAAAATAGGGCTTGGTATCGATTCAAATTTCAAGAATTTTCAAATTTTAAAGTCAGCATTTTTTAAAACTGACACAGTCCAGTCCAATCTAAAATTAGATTGCTGGTATTTTATTGTGGAGTTAATGCAAAATATTGATACTCATGTTAGCATTAACATTAGCATTTAACAGTAAATTAATAAAGTGGTGGCAGTTAATGGTGGCTTTAGGACAGTGGAATATACTTAAAAATTTATTTGTCAATTCATGTTTGGTTTTATGAATTGACCTTAAGGAAATTAGATAATTAGGATTAGATTTATTTTTTTGCATCAGTCCTATGGCAAAATGAAAGTCCATCCTCTTTATTCTTGTTAAATTAGGACTTTAATTATAATTATCTGGTCTTAATCAGTTATTAAAGTTGTTTAAATTCAACATCCATATTATGGATATTAACAGAAAGTATTGCTAGCATATTTTTAGATTGCTGGGTTATTTATTTTGCATATTTATTTAACCGACTTCTGTTATGTTGCTGAGAAAGCAAGTTCCAAAATGAGACTGAAAAAGGAGATTACATTTTTTCCCATACTTTTTTCCTTTTATGTTTTGCCTTTAATTTTTCATTGTCCATAAAATATGTTAGGTTTAAATTTTTGTAACTTGACAAAACTAAGTAAATAAACTCTTAGGAAATTAGGATCCACCTTTGACAGGAAATACTTTAAAATTGTTGTTTTTATCTGTCCACAATCTCTTCCTGTAATTTTTCTATAGCATAATTCAGATTAACTTTTCAAAAATAACTTCTTGAACTTATATTGTTATGTTAGTATTTTATTTCTTTAATTATTTCTGCTTCCTGTGTTGCAGCACATAATGCTCTTATTCGTTTGGTTATTGATTGATTGACATTTTTTGGTCTCGCAGTGGAGAGATATACTTGTTACATCAGCTCAAATAGTCAAAAAGAGGAGAATAAGGTGCCAAAGAAAGAAAAAGGTGCATGGGGTATATACAGTATATACACATCTGACAGCTTTTTTTTATTTTTTTTCATAGCAGGATTGTTATACAGGGTTATTGCACAGGGTTTTTACATGGGTATTTGTATAGATGGATATTTATATATATGTAGGTATTGCACTGGGTGTAAAATATGACAGGTTATTGCACAGTGTATCATATAGTAATTGCACCTTATACATTGCACAATTTATTGCTGTTGAAGTGTTGTGTTGTAAAGTCGGGTGGCAGCAGGGATGGTGGCTTTAAATGAAGGGAGGGGGTTTAGCAAACATGATGATTAGTCTGTTTTCGAGAGGCTATGCAAGCTAACCAAGCTTTATTCCATTTGACAAGCCATGGTGGCTGAAATTTAGGAATTAAATGGTGATTTAAAGATAAGCTTCAACTTGATAAATATATTCATTTTAATTTTGTAAGTTACTTAAGTATCAGATAAATCTATAAGCAGAATTTAAACTGAATCTAACTTAAATGTAAAATAAAGAATTCAAACACCTCTTTAACCATTAAAATAAGGATTTTTACAGTTCACAATTGTGGATTTAAAGCTGTTTGTCAGTCTTGCAGATTATTTCCTGTTTCCACAACCAGAGTGACAAATTTGATAAGATGGAGGGTCTTTTCCGACATAATCAAATCATCTTCTTAGTCATGTGCCATTGCTTTATTATCTGCTTTTCTCCAGAACACAAAACGCAGTGAACCCTGCTTGGCAGAGACTGGAACTAGTTAGTTGAAACATATTTCTTAAATATAGATGTGAAAACAATTATGAAAAACAGAACCAGTAATTTGAGCTGGAAATACAAATAGTGTTTAGTTAACATAATTAAAAGAATTTAAATGAGTCAAAGGCCTGTTCAATGCAAAAGAACTGTTTTTTTTTTTTTGGCTTAAATCCTGCTCCGAGTCAGTGTGTCTTCAAACAAATGGGATGTTTAGTAGTCTATATACTCAATGATTAACCAATTACTGTAATAGATTATGATTATTTTAATGATTGATTAATTTGCTTCATAGATTCAGCTCTAATATTCAGAGGAGTTCAAGGTCAACTTGATGTCCACAAAGTGACGAGATCTTTGTGGCTGTAGAATGATGCCAGATCATCCCCCCTCTGCCACCCTGCTTCACATTCAAACTAAGGAGCTGCTATTGTGCTGTTAACCAACATTAGTGTTTAAAATGCTAGCTGAGGTGGATCCTAAGAGATGTAGAGTCAGTTTTCCGGGACGTCCTTTCCTGAGATAATGAGATAGACTTTTTATTCTTTGGTTATTACCTTAACCAGACTGGTAATGGAAGAATTTGCTTCATTTCAATCTTTGCTAAAAACTCCAGCCTTGTTAGCATCACTATATTAGCTGATCGAATTAACTGTGAATGCATTTGGTTAGTAGCTGCTTCTCTCCTTGTTTGTTCCCCCAAACTTTGCCTATGGAGGATCAAGTGAGCGTATTGTTTCTGCACAGTTTGCTTTTCTGTGTGGTTTAATTTAAATTTAAACCTGATAACCTTCATGTCCAAATAAAAACCATAGCCATAAAAGGATAACTTCCCTTTTTATCGTGACTCTTCCTCATGCTGATCCTCATCAGAAAGAGATGATTATATTTCCTCCATCATGTTTGTTTTCTATGTAATAATTTGTTTTTTCACCTCTCTAACTGTGCCTTCTTCTCTCTTAAGCTATCTTTTTTTCCCTCTCTTTCTCCCTCTGGTACCACTCTCTGAAAACCAAATAAATAAATAAAGAAAACAACAGCATGCACAGCGCCCTCACTGTGCACGCTCTTGTTTTTTCTCCTTCATTCCCTTTGCTGTGTTTACACAAAGTCAGAGCTGTCAGTAATGTGCAGAGATTTGTAGCATTTAGGCGAGCTTCCTAATTAAACACGGGCTTCAAGATGTAGTTCAGGAACGTTAAGGGGATGGAAACAGACCTCAAAGGTTTAGATTGGGTTCAGAAGGAAAAACAAAACAAAACAAAAACAACAAATAAAGGAAGAAGTAGTCCAGTGCTGGATGAGACAGGAGTGTAAACAGATCGAATCTATAATTCAAAGAGCTTATTCAGTAACACACGCTACCTTGTAACTAAAGCAGGTCTTGGTATATGCCTATGTGAACTAGATGTTAGTAGCTGTACAATTAATTTATTAGTCCATCTGTGTATTAGATTTGGTAGAGGAGACCAAGGAACACAGCAGGCAGGTCAAGGAGAAGGTTTTGGAGGTGTCGTAGCCTAGTTTGGATCTGAATAAAATGACGAGAGTACGGGACAGCTGAAAGAGTTTTAATCAGAGATGCAGCCAGAAATCTGATGGTAACTTTGGAGGAGCTGCTGAGATCCACAGCTTAGATCAGGGATTCAGTTGATGGGGCAACTATTAGTCATCCTTCCCACAAATCTGACCTCTAAAAAAGAAGGTGGTTAAACTTTTAGGCCTACATGCAAAAACTAGGGCTACACATCGCCCCGGAGACAACAGTGTCTTGGTTGAAACACACTAGTAGCAGCATCATACAGTGGGAAGACTTTTCTTCAGTAGAGATGGGGGAGATGATTATCATAGAAAAAAAATACTTCAGAGGCTTTTCATCTAATCTGCCTTAGATTGAGCTATTTTACAAAGAAAAAGTAGAAGTTTCAGTCTCTGGATGAGCAGAGCTGCTAGAGAAAAGGCTTTACTGTCTCTGGGGAGCTTGGTTACTTTCTGTCACAAAGTCACACTAATTCTTGATGAAATACAGTTAATTTTGAGGATGTAATGAGCTTAAATGTTAAGGGAAGGGCTCTGAAAAGGGAAGCTTAGTTTGACCACGTTGTGCACAGCAGTGCTAATCAGTGCTCAGAGCAGAACTTAAAAGCTTTGACCATTTTTCTTCTCAGAATGTTTTAGATTTCATTGCTTTTCTGCACATTTCTGTCATCTCTGCAGTTCCTTTGTCTAGGTTTGTCTCAGCTAGATCAAATCACAGCACTGAAGTTGGTCTTTTGTGTTTTTCTTTGATGTGAGAAGATAAAAAAAATAAAAAAAAACACAAAAAGCCGTGTCTCTCTAATTGTGGCTTGATTTCTTTTCTTGTTGAGCCACACAGATAACTGTAAACGAAGCCCAACTCTTTTTGTTGCATGCATCTCCTTTCCCCCCTCTCTCTCCTCTCCCTCACCTCCCTCAGACTGTTTTTCTTTTATTTTTTATTTTTGTTTTGTTTTTTTAATAAATGCTGCCTCTAACCATACTCCACCTCACTTTCCCACCTACCCTCACACAAACCCCGCCCGTGTGTGTGTGTGATGCAAACACATCATGATGTGTCTGTTTGTGTGGATGTGTTTCGCCGGGCGGGGTGCTCCTCCTCTTCCTTTTTCCCCTCCCCTTCCCATGCCAGCCTAAACACTCCGGGCTCCCGAGCCTCCACTGCCTCAGCTGCCGCCGTCCTCTCCTCCTCCTCGCGTCCCCATCACCAAAAGTCCCTGTCCACCTCCAATCATCCATGCCCCTCTGACCTGCACGCACCACGGTCCAGGCAAGTCTCAGTCTCTGCATCTCAGTCACACAAACCCATCGCACACATCTTCTTTTTTCTCTCCTAAGCTCAAACCACTTTTTCTGGAGTGGACAAAGAGGAGGGATGAAGATGGGAGGAAAGCTCTGAAAACCTTCACCTCTACTAAATTAAAAAGCAACAGCCTTATTTTTTTTATCCATTTTACTGAATTTACTCACATACTGACAGAATCTGGCAGAAAGCTGTGACAGCCTCTCCCCCTTCGCCACTATTGGGTTATTGATCTAAACATTAGGTCTCCCTCCCTGCAGGAGCTGCTGTAACTTTAAACACTAACTGCTCTGCTTGCATCTTCACACGTCCTCTCATATAGCCAAGACCAGGTTTGCAGACTTTACATTTGAGTTTTGGATTATTTCCATTTCATTTAGAGAAATGTGTATATTGTATATATATGTTAAATCTAGAACATCTTTACCTTAGGGTTTCAGCTGCAAACCTTCATTTGTTTACCATTACAACATCTCCACAGCGACATGTGCAACATTTTCTAAAACTGGCCATCTCAGACCCGTTGGTTCCCTAGCAACAGCAGGGAACTACACAGTTGAGTTGAGAAAACGGTGCCAGCGTGGGAATGTTGACATGCCGTGCTTTTTTTTTTTTTTTTTCCTACAGCCAAACAGGCGCTGTCAAATCACACTTTTTAGCTGTCAGACCATAACTGAGCAGTCACATGATTCAGATCAAGCTGAGCAGGTTTTTCACCACACTGCCATTAACAGGAAGCCTTGTTTATTTTGTGTTAGGAAAGAAGATATTCACACAGACACACATAAAGGGGCTGGTTTTAGTTAATATGTGAAATATTACATTGCTCCTCAGCATTGCAACTCAGCATTGCTTTAAAAATGTTTGTCTCTTTACATTCACATCATTAATTAGTAATATAGAAATATCCAAAGCAGTGCACAATTGGGAGGTTTTAAGTAAAAATATGCCTGGTTTCTAACGTGTGCATTTGTTTTCAGCTCCCCTGAGTTAGCAATCAGTGCACCCACAGCAGCTTTGTTTGCCTTTGCTTCTGTGAGCTGTTTAAAGTTTACGCTGACCAGATTTATTGACTTCTGGTGACTAAAATTTTAGTTTGTTCTTTGCAGAATAGCTTAAGGTTAGCTAGAATCTGTGGATACCAAACAAGTCTTGCTTAAGGGTTTCAAATAGAATAGTCTGGGCTTTGATCTAAAGCATTTTTATTGTCTGACTGCCTGTTAAGTGACCAGTGTCCCTGTCACTGCTAAAGTAAAACCCCCCTACATCATGATACTGTCAATGCGATGTTTACTATGGATGGATGTTTAAACATGCCTCTGAGAGGTTCAAAACTCTGATTATTTATAATCCAACCCATATTAAAAGGTCTCCAGAACTTAATCCCTGTTAGATGTCTCTTGGTCTTCACAAAGCTGCATGTTTAGAATGCTCTTTTGAGGCTTTCACTGATTGATTATATTTATATTAATTAGATGGGATTTAACTACTTACCAGGTGACTTCTTAATGCAATATGCTAAATTATAATGACAAAAACTGTTAATCCATCTGTTTTCATCATGTCTTTGTCTAATATGTTGATTTTTTTTTCTAAATACAAATTCTGATGTTTTGATATTGTTTTAATATTAAATGTTGACATTTTTCTTTGTATACAAATGGGTTTTCCTGGCTCACAAAAAAAAGAAAAAGAAAATCATCTTTCCTAAATTTGACGGAAATTTTTAGATAGACTGTTGCACACAGTTGCCAAGGAAAACCCAGTTTTTATCTGTGAAGCTGGAAGTCTCCTCACACGAACCACCGAGGAGGCTTTTTATGGCAGAGCCATCTGTATACACGCATTCTGTGTCTTAGTTTGTCCCGCCGTTTGCTGGCATTCAAGCTTTACCTGTCTGTCACTCTCAGGGCTACTTTGATATGTCTCTCTAAACCGATTTCCAGCTCAAATCAGAGAGTTCCCAGAGAGCGCATGACTGCAGCTTGATCAGAGACCCCCCTTAGCAAAGTGACAAGGCAATGGAGAAGCTCCATTTTCTGCAGAGTTGATGTCAAAGTAGCCCTGTGGTTTTGTCAGCTCCATGTTCAAGTCTCGTTTTGTTGCATGCGTCGTTCAGCACTGAGCTTGGGCTGTTCAGAACCTGGTTGGAAACGTCGGAGAAAAGGTACAACTCATACACTTAGACTAACCAAAGACTCATGCATGAGACCCTTTACTCAGAACATAATCTATGCTCTTAACTCTGCCCCATCCTTTATGGCTCATCCATTCTACCACAAACTTACCTGTTCTCCTAAAACAGTGTTGTTTTTGACTTTACACACAATGAAAGGGAGTGCAATTAATATGTTTGGGGATCAGCTCAGAGTCCAGGTTTATGAACAATCCCTTTAGAGGGGAGAGCAAAGTTTGAATTTCCCGAGTTTAGCATCCTGCTCTGTCTATGGTCCTGGTTTGCATTGATTTTGTTATTTTGTTTCTTTTCCTTTTGATGATCAGAGCAAATATATTCTATGAGGGGGAAAAAAACAGTCTCCAGACTCACAGGATGTTCCCCTCACAGAACGCCTCCTCCTTTGTGTTAATTTTTGCACCTGCAGTGAGCACAGCAGCTGGTAGCTGCTCATTTGTCTTTCCTTTTTTTAGAGACAAGCGTTTTCCTCTTACTCAAAAACTGTCAATCTAAAACCGAAGGTTTCTTTTAAGATATCTTTCGAAAGCCTGCGGCTTCTTCTGCAGCTGAAGGAATTGGAAACGGTTGGAGGGTTTAAATCGGGTCAGGGAAAGGAGGGGTGGCTGCAACATGAAAGATGCATAAAATAATTTGTAGGCCTTTAAAGTAAGATTAGATTTTAAAAGAAACATCAAGCACATTTGGTTTGAATTCATATCTGTTTACATTAAATTTGTCTGAAACTCCAGTGTAATTAACGAATATTGTCATATTCATACTTAATAGCATAAAATCAATTAAAATATGAAAACAAACTACCTCTAAGTCATGATAAGGTGAGGATTTAATGCCAATCAACAGATATCCAAGCAAGCATGTAGCGACAGCGGGAAGAAATAGTTTAGGTAAGGTTCCAGCACAGGAAGACACTTACATGAAACAAACTGGGCTTGGAGAACTTATTTAACTTGAGAAACATGGAGAGTACACATGGTTACTGACATCAATAGTGTCTGAGGAAAGAAAAACTGAGTACATCTAGTGTACGGCAGCAATAGCTCTAATCTGACCAGCCAGAAAAGAGATGAAACTTGATACACAAATGCTAACTAGGAGTACTTTCTATGAAAAGTCAACGCAGATCGATAGCAGCTATTTAAGAGGAATGAAATTCATTCATTGCAGCAAACTGGAATACTTTCAACAGATAAACATAGAAGTAATGATGTAGTGCAGGACAACTTAGCTGATATTGATTCTGAAGACATTGAGATGAAGCAAAACAAGGAGCTATTTTTAGAACTATTGCTGTAATCAGGAGAAGTTGCAGACTTTTCTATCTCTTCTATTTCTGATTTCTCAAAGTTTGAAACATGGTTGCATTTGAATGGAGAGAGCATGTTGATATTTAGTTGCAGAATGGGGGAGGGGGCTGATGCTGCAGCTGTGGTGTGGAGGGGAGAAAAACCCTCTTTTGACAAAGTTACAAAAAATAGACTAGACCGAAACTTTAAAATGTGGCCTCAGGACAGTTCTTGAGACGAAATAAAACAATTGAATTTAGGTTATTTGGATGACTGCTTCATCAAAAGGGTTTCGTCTTAATCCAGGTGCAGCTCAACGTATAAAATCAATGGTATTTAAACAAAATGGAAAGCAGCGTGCTGTGGCTGCAATGATGCACAAACCAATAAAACTTTAGTTTGCACACTTTAACTGAAACTTTGCAAGCCTTTTTCTGTCAGAATCACCTGATGCTACATTTAAAGAGAACCTGCACTTTGCTTATAGATGCTGCTGCTGCATTGTTAGAAACCTCAAGTCCATTGCTCCTTTTCATATAGGTTGTTGCTAATACAGCTTATCCAGCCCATAGCTCATTTCTCATGCATACCACTTTTTTGAGCTATCAGACATTAGCAAACCCTCGTTAGATTATAGCATCCACTCAAGCAATTCCTCACACTATTTAGCTGAAATGGAGACACATTTTTGCGCTTAACTCTGCTCTCTATTCAGCTTTGTTTTTCATAGAGGGGGCTGCAGAGGACCGTTTTGCTCTCACAGCCTCATTATGTAACACATCTCTGGTGGGTAGCTTTAGTTTAAAGAGAGCAGCGACAGCAGAGGAGCAGTCTGAGCTGATCCAGATACAGAGCTTCCACTTAGACCTGCCTTTATATGAGCTTTAAGCTCTGAGATACTAGCATAATTCCCATATCTTTGGTTCTGGAACAGCCATAGAGCTGTTAAGGCTTTGCCCTGTTATTGAAGTTGTTTGGACCTGAAACATTAGTTGTGTGATGTTATCTTTAGCCCACTGCTGCTTCTTCTGCTGGAAGCTACTACCTCTTGGTTGTTTGTCTTCTGCTGCAGGTGTGTGCGCCTCATATAGAGTAAAACATGCTTTAGCTTAGCTTCAGTGCGACAGTGTGCGTATGCATCAAGCCCTCAGGCTGAGACAGAGAAGATGATGTGTGTATTTGTTTGTGTTGCTGACCGAACTCTACTCGGTCAGAATATATAGATGTTGAACAACTTTGTCTTTAAACGCTTGTGGGTGATTTTTTTCCCCTACTTTTCTCATGACCATTTCCTGTTTTATAATCTTTTTTTCCCCTCCACCTTCCCCCTCTCCTCTGTTTTCCTCTTCCCATCACCTCTGCAGTGCCGCGTCACAACGGACGCCTGGTGCCTCACCGTCGGCCCACAACATCAGCAGCGCCACTGTGTCGGACCGAACCAACTTCCCTAGAGGCGGGGTCATCCGCAGCACGTTCCACGCGGGTCAGCAACGGGGCGCCCGCGACCAGCAGGGCTCCGCTTACCCCGGGGGACCCGCATCCCCATCCCTGTCGCATGGCAACAGCCAGGCCCGTCGGACACACGGCGCCACTGGGATTTTCAGCAAGTTCACATCCAAGTTTGTACGCAAGTGAGTGGTTGGTGGGGGAAGCGCTCGGGAAGTTGAGCGAGGCGAGTTAGTTGTAGGTTTGTCACCGTTTTCAGCTTTAGAGGAAGGAAATTAAACAGGAAGGAGAGGATAGGATGTGAAGTAAAAGAGAGGCTAACATCGGGGAGTTATATTAGTAGTCAATATCTTTAAGAGGCGGTTAAGTCACATGAAGCAAGATGTGCACTAAAAGTTATTTAATGGGCTGGTTTCCTCCCAGAATAACAGTCCTCTGCACCGTCATCCACAGCAGTCCATGGAGGGGCTGAGCTTTAACTCTGCAGAGGTGAAAAAAGAAAGTGGAGGGTAACAGCTCTATAATTTGGGTTGGAGCTGTCCCCAATAGGTACTTATTTTGGTTGCCGTCCAATTTCTTTGGCATCTTGTTTAACGCAGCTGTAGAGGTAACGGCTGATGTGGTTAAATGGTTGATCTAGAAACATACGGCACAGCCTTGATCCAAATCTGTGTGTTTTATCAAACTGATTGTAGCTGTTTAATTATTCATAAAAGCAGAGCTCAAATGGTTTCATATAGTCAAAGAAGAGGTAGCTGTCACATTGACACCTAAAAGATTTGTCCTCATACAAACATTTATTAGTATTAAATAGGAACATAATTTAAAAGTAATAATAAAAGTTGTGCTTTATTACGTTTTTATTCAGCATGTTTGAGGCTGTGGAGATACTATAAAAGTAGAAATTTGGGCGAGTCCATTGAACTGAGTAATATAGCAATTAATAAAGATGAATATTGATTTTATATTAAAATGAATTAAGCTATTAATCTTATGAATTTATCATTGATATAAACTAAAACTGAATTACCAATAACCGTATTTACCATGAGGTTTTTATCCTTTCCTTTGCCTACATCCCCCAGAATGCCGTGGGTTTCTATATCTGAACTAGGTTAAATGGGCACTATACTTCCTGAACTTAAGGCAGCTCCTTTGTTTCCTGTCTTTCATTACCCGATCAAGTGATTAACCCAGCTGTGACTGACGTCAGTAACCATGACAACAAAGGCCAGACACACCTGGATTATTCAATTCATCCACTAAAGAAAGACATGAAACAAAGGAGCTGCTTCAGTTAAGTGAAGTTATGCATCTAGCCCATTATAGAACCTTCAATTGGAGATATTTTCTATAGATATTAATCAGGTGTCTAAAGAAATAGGAGATATTTATAAACGCACAGTTCTAGCTTTATTAAAATTGGTGTTTATAAGAATCAACATTACAGTAAAGTATAAAAAAACAGGACATTCATAGATATATCACTATGATAAAAGGACGTTGAAGATGTTTATAAATGGTCATAAATATAAAGATAAGCAAATCAAGTCAGTTAGATAGAATTAGCATCATTTAATGCTTATTAAAAATAGTTTTTACTATTTTATATTTGAAAAAGGACTATCAATCAATTCATTACTTAACAAAATTCCCCCCTTTTAGCTCATGTGCTTTAGCACATGAAATCAAGGGAAAAGCAAGTGGAGGACAAAAGGGAAACCAGATAACCAGCTAAAGTGGCTAAGAGGAAGGCTCTGGATGTGTAGAGAGAGAGACAGCAGGGACAGCAGAACCTCAGGTTCTTCAGAAAAACCTGCGAGTTTTTGGTAACAGGTGTGGAAATGAGTAAATCTGCGTTTTAGGCTTCAGCTTTAGAGTTCTGATGGGTTAGTCTGTGTTCCTAAAGGTTAAGCCAGCGTTATTCCTGTATCCCCCACATGGAGACAAACCATATATATATGTGTGTGTATACGAGGAGGAGACGGAGTTACAGCCACTCTCCAAGCCTCCCACTCAGAGTATCCATGGTTACACCGGAGATATCGCTTTTCCTACAACTATAAATACCGCTAGTGGGGACACCTTGACACACATGCTCACACACAAACGAGGAAAGCAGGAAATCTTAGACTGTAAGCGCCTCAGTCAGGCTGGCCTCTGTGCTGTGTGTTAGAGATGAAGTTGTTGCTTAACTGTGTCTTTCTGTGTTTATTAGAATATTTTTTTTGTTTGTTTTTCTGCACGGTTGACCCTTCTCACATCACAAACGCGAGTAACCAGGACGGCTGTGTATGTGGAGGAGTGTTTCATCTCATTTTGTTTTTAAAGTGAAGGGGGTGTTGAGATGAGGACTCTTAATTAAATGTTCCCACAGAGATCCTTTTAAATCCCTCCTAACAATGTTTGTTCACCTTTTAATCCCCATGTGGAAACGCTTTGCAGAAACACTGATGTTGGGGTTTTTTAACTTTATTTTTAATTCAGTTTCTTTTTACAGTAAAGTTATAAAAACGTACGTTTTTTATATATCCAATTTTTTTTCTCTTTCTTTCTTTATCCCTCTTTTGTTTTTTGTAGAAATCTCTCGTTAAGGTTTCAAAAAAGGTAGGCAACAAACCTGACGTTAAACATAACCCCCTTGATATATTTTTACACGTTTATTTCCCTCTTTATATATATATATTACACGTGTATATATTTATATATACATCCTTCCCTTTTTATTTTGGTGTTTTCGTGCAGCTTTTTTTTTTTTTTGTTCAAAATCTTCCTTTTGTTCCTATTTTCTGTGGTTTGGCCCCTTTTTCTTCCCATGATTTTGATTGTTTTGGTCAGATTTTATTTTCATTTCCGTACTAACATCCCTATCACTCACCATACAACTTACCATCATCCTCATGCCGAATAACGCTTCACCTCTCTTCCTCTTCATCCTGCCACCGTCCTTCCCATCCACCTCATCCCTGCCCCCGTTTATTAAACATTTAGCTGGAAAGTGTGAGACCTTAGATCTTCTAAGACCCAGATTTATTATTGCCTGCATATTCTAGACATTACAGATATTTCTAAGATTCAAAAATGGGGAGAAGTAAGGCAACAGAGAGAATCTGATCATCCACCTAATCAGAACTCATAGATTTAGATTTGGGTTTTGCTATCTGATACCAGACATCAATTTTCAGGAGCAGAAAGTTACAATAAATAAATGAAAAATGGAAGATAAAGTCCCATTTCCTTACTAAGAGTGCTGTTAAAAAGTATTCACCCTCTATATAAAGTGTCTTTATTTGGGATTTTCTGTCACACTGAAATGTTTCAGATCGAAACAAGGTGAGGGCGGTGTGATGGTCTGGGACTCCTGAGACATCAATGAGCTTCTCTCCTCGTTTAAATCAAAAATGTAATCAGTTTAAGATGCTGAGAAACAACAGAATGTGAATTTAATAATTTCAGCAAAGCAGAGTGGGCCACACACTGCTCCTCATATCTTATTTTGTTTACTTTCAATAGATCACCTTTGTCTGGTAACAGAATTAATCTGAGAAATGAAATGACAGAAAAACAATAAACCACCCTTAATGGGGCGTTAAGCGTTTGGTTTGAGGTTATTTTTCTTTTCAGCACTGTACGATCGTAGCTAGATGTGCAACCTCTCCCCCAACATTCATCAGTGTTTCTTTAATCCAAGCTAACTCCTTCAGTCCATCACCCATCACGCTCTCTCTGCCCTAATCAGTTCAGCTGCTGGAGTCGGCTCTTCTTCCTGTCAGGAGGTAGCTTGTTTATGAGCCTTTTGCTCTGGTGGGGTGTAGTTGTGGACAGAGGCAGAGAGGAGGAGAGGACCCAGGAGGGACGGGGCTGCAGTGTGTTCAGGCTTTTTTTTTTTTACTTTTACATTCATCTCTGTGTTCTCACTCACTCATGCATTGGCTCCCTAACAACAACAGAAGCAGCAACAACAGACCTGGATGGCTTTGAGCAGCTGTGGCTGGAAACCACTTTTTTTTTTTAAATCTTTTATCTTTGTGAACACTTATTAAAACATGTGGACTTGTACACTCACACACCTTTCTCACATGTTTTTCATTGAGAATGCCAAAAAGCATGTCAAGAGGACACATTTCTCACCTGCATTGGTTCGTTTGCACCAGCAGGTAGGGCAATGCTGCCACTCTATGTGGGCCATTGCTCCACCTGCTGTGCAGAGCTTGTATTACATGTTGTCTTTGTGTCAGGATGAATTTGTTTTTTAGTATTTCAAAAGAAAAGTAATTTATTCTGTAGCTTTATTAAAAAATGTGGGCAACAAAAGGGAATTTTTTTTATGTGTTTTTTTGTTAAAATGTGGGATTTTATGTGTGATGGTTGGGATCACATTGAGCTCAACCATCAAAGGACATCAAGAACAGAATCATTTTAGATTCTTAACTCTAATGCTTTTTGATATATCATTGAAAATGGTTATGATGTTGAAAAGCCTTAAAATAAAGTTTCATTGAAGCTATAACAACTAGCATTAAGAAAATATAGGAAAATACAAAACCTTTTTCTGTAGATTTTCTTAACCATACTTTATCCTTTATAACCTAATAATTGTTTATTTTCTTGAAAGTTTTTTTAAACTAATCTGATTTTCCAACAACTTTGGTTATTAATTATTACTGCGGCTCAATATTGTGGTGGATCCTGAGTAATTTCCAACCATCTATATGTAGCGTTTACCTCAGTGGTTTGTGATTTTTGGTGGTGAAATGAGAGAAATATTGAGCAATAAGAACCTCCGTTTGGTTTGATGTAGAGAGAGCAAAATAATAAAGCACAGTAATGGATCCGTGTTGCTCTGGGACTTTCTCTGTTCCTAGAGAAACAGCAGACCAAACTGCAGTAGCGGCTTATTCTCGGACGACAGGCTGACAGCAAAGGACCACAGGTCTAATTCGAACCTGGTTCATCCGCGGGTCGAGGACTAAGGCCTCCATAAATGGGGTCGTGTGCACCAACCACTGCGCCACCGAAGCACGCCCTAAACTAGATATTTTAAGAGGAAGTGAGGTCCGCTTTGCCTGAAAACTCAAAAGTGGTTCCTCATCATTTGGCTAAAATGCCTAAGAACCAGATATAGATATAGATATAAATATAATGATGTATGCAGGTTCAAGTTGTTCTTTTATTAACCTTTATGTAGATTTTTGATTATTTTAGATTTTTGATTTTGTTGAACTCTTTTTCTTCACCTAATGACAAACATCCTTGTTTAAAACTTTAGAAAATCTAATTTTAGATCTTAAAGGACAGTTCTAGGAGCAGACAGTCAGTGCTGGGATGGCAGATGATCCACCGATGATCTTTATTCTACATGACTGGTTCTCTTCCCTTCACTTTTCTTACTTGCTGCAGTTACAGATACATTTATTTTAAGGCTTTTACACATTTTTGATTTCTAAGTGGGATAAGTATAAATGATACTGGCAGTTTCTGCAAATATTTGTCCTTATTCTTATAAGACTGTTGAATTGGTCATTTCCAATGTTTTGGTCCGTCACATCCGAGTGTCTCCATCTAGTTTGTCTTCTGTGTTTTCTGTCCAGTCTGCTGGGATGAAAGTGGATGTTTGTGTTTATTTTACAAAGGGTGTGTGTGTGTGTGTGGGTGGGGGGTACTAATACAGGTTGGTTTAACCAAAGTGCTGGGGTCACTTATGCTCCTAACATCCCTCAGATGCCGGACTCGCCCCTCACCATGCCGCTCTGGGTGCTCCAAACTCCATCCTTGATCCAAACATTTAATCCAGCTTCTTATGACCCGCTCTCTGTCACCTTTATTTTTTTTAACCGTACTACGTGAATAATTTCAGATTATTTTTCTTTAATCATTTCGGATCCACTCATGAATTGTAAGAAATCGCAAAATCAAAAAGCGGTCAAGACTTAAAGAAACAGGCAAAACAAGTCATCCTAAATCAGGCAACAAAAATTTCCTTTTATGGCTTTTTAAGAGGATCTACATTGGCTCTCTGTAGTATTCAATAGAATAAGGCTTAGATTACATTTAATTTTGTTTTAAATTTGTGCCTTTTGAAGTCACTCCTTTCATTTATTTGATTTTTTTGTAAATCCACATATATCAATGATGTTTACTGTAGTTTTGGCTGAGAAAAGACATTAATACAACTTCTTTTAAATAAACACTACAGTCCTTTTAGATGTTAAATATGCTGAGATTTTCTTTAAAAAAGGATTACAATACCTCTTTTTAAACATTTAATAAATGTGTTTATTCGCCAATAGACTCAGTGTTTACATGACGGGTCACTTCCTGTGTGACCATAAAATTTCCATCATCTGAGAAGGCTATTTTAAAGAAATGTTGTGTGGACATTTCGAATCATAACAGGTAAAAACCCAGGAATTATCAATCAGTTAAATGCAATACAGTCCAAACTGATCCCAATATGACATAAAATTTTACTCATGTCTATGTCAGAAGCCATTTATTTCAGTTTGAACCAGTTTTATTTATTTCTAACCCAGTCCTGATTTCCATCTCGTCATCCATGGCTCTAATCCATTATTATGCCATCTGATAAAGATTGACAGGAAATTGTGGATACGTAGTTGGAGTGGAGTATTCAGGAGGGCATGGTGATGCAGAGCGACCGTATTTTGTTTAGATCATTACTACCTTTGTAACTTCAGAGAAATACTAAACTTGTGTTGATTTTTTCCGAGGAGTCCGTATGAGGGAGAGGGTCGGGATGAGGGCAGCAGGTGAGAACAGCCCGCAAAGATCGAAACCAAAGGAAAAAATTATCTTTTTAAGTCCTCATGTTGTAACAAAGTGCCCGCCGATCAGTAGACTGGGAACCAATCAGTAGCTGGTGGGGAGCTTGGGAGAGGAGCGGGGCTGGGCTAATTGGTCTGTGATTCTGGGTTGTCCAATCAGGGGACAGGTGGTAGCGTCATTAGTAGAGAATGATGGTGTCGGTGTGGAGGGTGAGCTGCATGGTGGTGAGTGGAGGAGTTGGGAAACGACTCCTGTTTAGGCACCAGCACGTGTGTTTGTGTGCAGAAAAAGATTCAGGGAGAACCTGCCGACTGATTGGATGGTGTGCACACAAGCACACGGAGGTGCTGTAAGAGTTTAGCCGGTCTTCATTCACACATCCTCATTGGTTCTGCTTCTCCTCTCAATCCCTCCTCCACTCTTCTCTGCTTCTTGCTCCAATTTCTTTTTTTTTATCTCCACTGTTTTCCTCTTAACTCTGAAACTTTCTCTGTTTCCTACCCTCTCCACTCTTTTAAACCCCCCTCCTCTTTCCGTTCCCACCTTCCCTTCACGTCACTCCACACAGATCCGTGCTAAGCAGTACTGTAGACAAGTCTGAGAAGACCTCCGGCGGCGTTCTGTCCTCCTCATCCAACAATGAAGAGAACTCCTCGCCGGGGTCCGGAAACACGGGTGGGTTCCCTTCTCCTGACATTGATGAAAAGTTGAAAACATGGGAAAAAACAGTGCGATAATAAAAGGAATGACTGCAGCTGGAAGACGTTTGTAAAGCAAATCAAATTTTATTTCTGCTCATTTTGATTTTTAAAATTATAGTCCTCTCATTATTGTGGTTGCTTGTGCACCTCTATGGCACTTTTTTCTTCCACTCAACTTTCCTAGAATGAGTAAAATAGCATTCCTGTGATAGAAATTTAGTTTTTTTTTATTGATTTTTTTTATTGGTCTTTTTGTTCATAGTTCCCAAATTAACCAAACCAGATTTCCATTACCCGTATAGCTTAATAAAACAAATAGATAATAATTCCTACCTGGTTGTAATAAATCATTTTCATTTCTTAGTTTAACTTAAAAAAATTTAAATAACTTTTAGTAATTAATTTCAGATTCATTTAACGGAACCAGTGAATCTTAAAGTCTTAGATTTGATCTACCTAAACTTTAAAAACAATCCCTGCAGTGCAGAGACTCATGTCTGCAGAAACCCACAGGGTCATAAAGAGATTAAAGAAGCAAAATTGGTTAGCATGAAAAAATTATATAAGAAATATTAATTTCTTTGTAACAAAGTATGTTTTATTTTATTTTTTTACTTGATTTATTTATAAGTGAAAACCTTTTTCTAGTTTTGCACATCGCAATCTGAGTTTTTTGACTAAATGAAGCAACAGTTTGGTTTTTGATGGGTCTAAAAACTAGAAGGTCAAATGTTCTGGTAGATCTGGGATTAAACTGGGATTAGAAGCACTCTGCTTTTTTTGTGACTGTATGAAAGCTTATTTTGATCCCATGTTTACATTTTCACTATACATTTTGAAGGAAAAGTTAACTTTGTGTTTTAAATGTCTATAATATTAAGCTAACAGGACAGAAAAGGTCAGGTTTCTGAGATGAAAACTCTTCCGTCGCCCCCCTCTAGGTGGCACCGGCACCCCTCCGGCCAACGCCAGCCAGAAGGACTCCGCCAAGCCGCGCTCCCTGCGCTTCACCTGGTCCATGAAGACCACGTCGTCCATGGAGCCCTCGGAGATGATGCGCGAGATCCGAAAGGTGCTCGACTCCAACAGCTGCGAGTATGAGCTGCGTGAGCGCTACATGCTGCTGTGCGTGTCGGGCAACCCGGCGCACGACGACTTTGTCCAGTGGGAGATGGAGGTGTGCAAGCTGCCGCGGCTCTCCCTCAACGGCGTGCGCTTCAAGCGCATCTCGGGCACGTCCATTGCCTTCAAGAACATTGCTTCAAAGATTGCCAATGAGCTGAAACTGTGAGCAGAGAGAAAGATGATGCTGTAGTTTGTTTTTGTTTTGTTTGTTTTTTTGGGTGGGGGGGGTTAGCTGAAGGTTGGGGTCACTTTAAAACATGATTGTTGTTTAGACTAAAGTCTGAAGTAGGGCTGCGACTAGAAACCTTTCTGATGGAGATCTGCTCAGAGCCGACTTCCTCTGAGGTGTGAAGGACTTTCAGACGCCGCTCTTCTCTCCTGGGGGGGGGGGGGTCTCTCATCCACTAAGACGTTCCACTCTTCTGCATGTCTGATCTTCTCTCTGATTATTTTTTTATTTTTTGTTAGGAGGCACTTTGATCACTTGGACCACTCCAGTTTTTCCTCCTTGTATTTATTCAGTTTCTGCACGGTTCTGCTGCCAAGTCTCTTTGGATGGAAGTGGGAGGGGTCGCACTAAAGTGGGAGGGGGTTTTTGCCGAGCCTTATTTTAGTACCGACTTGGTTCACGTTTGCTCCGATGGTCCCAAAAAGTGAACAGACTGAGCCACAAACGCACCGATTGGACGGCCTCTGTGACGGACCCCCCCTCTGCTCCTGCCCCCCAACAGCACAAACACATCTGGACTTTCAACCTTCTCACTCCGTTTCTTAGTTTAGTCGCTCAGACTTGATGTCGCCATCTTTGTTTTTTGTTTTTTAAGTGGCTTTTTAAGAGTTGTGCACTGGAACAAGATTGGAGGGGGGGGTTAAGTTGCCTTTAGTAGAACAATTTAATTATGGGGTTATGTTTTTGTTTTTTAAAATCATGCTCACATGATTTATTTGTACTGTTAAGCCCCTAAAGTCCCCCCCCCCCACCCCTACGGCTGGTTGGCATCACGCCTTCATATCCAGAATGTCAGCCTCTTCCTCTCCCATCTTCCTCCTGCTTGTTCAAACGTCCCAAAGAGCAAAACTCACAGGAAAAGTCATCTTTTATTTTTTCTTTATTCTGGAGGATGTGTTATAAAGAAGATCACTGGAAGAAAAAAAAAAAAGAAACAAAAAAAAAAGATAATTGACGACGAATGGTTAATTATTTTCCTCTACTTTTTGATTTGATAATATATTTTTGTGTAGTTGAAATTATTGGGGCTTTGTACAGATTTTTGCGAGGGGGGGGGGATTTGGATCATATCATTGCTGCCTTTATTTTTATTTTTTTTGAGGGTGTACTGCACCTTTAACGGCTCAGATTTAACTCCAACCCTCCCTGGATTATTGATCTATTTAATGATGATGGTGGTGGTGATGATGATGATGACTACTGCTGGTTTATTTTGTTTTTTTTGGGCCTTTTTTTTTATATTATTTTTACTTCATTAAAGGAGGCCTTTGTTGGTCCAGAATGGCTTGAAGTAGATAGAGAAAGTTTAGTTTCTCTCATATCGGAGCACCCGTTCGGGCTCTGGGGGGGGGGAAAAAACAAAACAAGAAGAAAAACGCCCAGGCATACTCTGGGGTTTGCATTTGACGCTTCAGTTTTTGAGCTGAAGCAACAGAAATAAAAAGCAAATCAGCCTGAGAACGCCTGGGAGCCGTCGGTTAGTTGAACCTAACTCAACTCTTTTCCTTTTTTCCTTTCAGTTTTTAATACGTCGATCAATGTATTAAGGTGCTGGGTATTGGATTCTAATTATTATTATTCAGCCAGTTGCTGTTATATTATCTTTCAGGGTTGATTTTTATTTTGCATTATTTTTCGTTTTACATTGCTGTAATTTACATTGATTTTAAATGTGTTTTGAGGAAAAGTGTAACTGTAGTGGTGGGTTTGTTTTTGTTTTTCCTCCTCTGAGGATGGGGGGGTGGGGGGGACCACTGGGGAGGGACGATCAGCTCCTTAAGAAAATGTATTATTTGTTTTGGGTTTTTGTTTTTGTTCAAACACGACATAATGAAAAATTACAATGATAGTAATAAAACAATGATATAATGCCGGCCTGACTGCTCTGCTCGTCTACTTGGAGGGTTTTATATCCGACTACAAGCTGCTGGATCTATGGGATTATTTTATGTAATAAGCATTAACCACCTCACAAATGGCACGCTAATACAAATATCACTAATAGTAAATAGATCAATCCATTTTGTCCGTATGTGTGTTTACATTTTATCCAATTGTTTCTGTAATTTTAAGGTAGTATGTTTGAGTTTAAGGTTAACTGAGGGGCAGTCGTCCTTTAGGATCATCTGCATTATGGTGAGTAATTCAGGTCCTAAAGAAGCTCCAGACCATCACTCTACCACCACCGTGTTTGACTGTAGGTATGTCCTCTGAATTGCTTTGTTACGAATGTAAAATGGAGCCAAACCTCCCAGAAAGATGTATTTTCAGTCTCCTACACCGAATGTTTCTTCTGAATTGTTTCTTGGGTCAGCTGGTATCTGAACTTTGACCTCTCCAGTCCTTTTTTTTTTTTTTTTCTTTGAATCATGATCAAAGACAAGTTAGAAGGCTGCAGATTGGTACCGATTACGTCATAGCGCGGCGCCGCAGTCTGTTTGGATTGCAAGACACCTCGTTACGCATTCCGATTTTAAGGACCGATCTGGTGTATCCTATCTATCCTTGGTTATCCCAGGATTCATTGCGAGGCCAAGCAAGCCGGCTGCTCCATGCTCAGAGGAGGTATTTGGTGCCAAAAAGTGGTGAATATTGGAAGTGAAGTTTAATATAGTACAAATATGTGAATCTGAAAATAATGCAAATTGTTTTTAAATGGTTATTGAGTCAGATATATGGCAGCAATGTTTGCTTTATTGAAATATTTTTTATCTTTCTTGATCTTTATCTTTACCTGGCTGAACTGCAGTGAGAGGTTTGGTATACAGTTTTTCCCTGATTTGTGTGTGAACTCACGGTTGCTAGGCAACAGATCATACGCTGGTAAAAGTTGCAGAAGCCTTGACCTATTAGAATCCATGGCCAAAACTCTTACGGTCTCCTTATTTTTTACACACCTTAAAGGATCCAGTCCAGATAGACCGGGTCCTGGGAGGATGCAGCCTTTAAAATTGAAAACAGCCCCAGAGTGTTTGAGAGGATGGTGTTGGTCTTTGTGACCTCTGAAAGAAGTCCTCAGTGAGCACTTGATAGTTTAAGGTCTTGCCTGGACTCTGTTTTTTCTGACTTGCTTTTTCTTTTTGTTATTTTAGATTCAGTAAAGAAAATAAGTATTTGAACACCCTGCTATTTTGAAAGTTCTCCCACTTAGAAATCATGGAGGAAATTGTCATCGTAGATGCATATCCACAGTAAGGGACATAATCTAGAAAAAAAAATTACAATATAAGATGTTACAACTGCAAATAAGCATTTCAACGCCCGTCAATCAGCTAGAATTCAGATCCTCAAAGACCTGTTAGTCTGCTTTCAAAATGTCCACCTCCGCTCCATTTATTATCCTAAATTAGATGCACCTGTTTGAGGTCATTAGCTGCATAAAGACACCTGTCCACCCCATACAATCAGTAAGAATCCAACTAACATAACTAACATGGCCAAGAGCTGTCCTAAGACTCGAGATAAAATTGTACACCTCCACAAGGTTGTAAAGGGTTACAGGGAAATTGCAAAGCAGCTTGGTGAAAAAAGGTCCACTGTTGGAGCAATCATCAGAAACTGTCAGTCTCCCTCAGACTGGGGCTCCATGCGAGATCTCACCTAGCGGGGTCTCCATGATCCTAAGAAAGGTGAGAAATCAGTCCAGAACTACACAGGAGGAGCTGGTCAATGACATGAAAAGAGCTGGGACCACCGTTTCCAAGGTTACAGTTGGTAGTACACTAAGTCAAGTTAACTGCACATGTCAAGGCCTGTCTTAAGCTTGCCATTATCTATTTGGATATTCCAGAGGTGTCATGGGAGAAAGTTATGTGGTCAGATGAGACAGAAATTGAACTTTTTGGATATAATTCCACTAACTGGGCTTGGAGGATGAAGGATTACCCCCAAAAACACCATCCCTACTGTGAAGCATGGGGGTGGTAGCATCATGCTTTGGGGATGTTTTTCTGAACATGGGACAGGGCGACTGCACTGTATGAAGGAGAGGATGACCGAGGCCATCTATTGCCAGATTCTGGAGAACAACCTCCTTCCCTCAGCATTGAGGATGGGTTGAGGCTGGGTCTTCCAACATTACCATGACCCGAACCACGCAGCCAGGATAATAACATGGAAGAAGCACATCAAGGTTCTGGGGTGGCCTTGCTAGTCTCCAGACCAAAACCCAATAGAGAACCTTTAGAGGGAGATCCAAAACAGTGTTTCATATTAACCTGACTGATCTAGAGAAGGTCTGTGTGGAGGAGTGTGCAAACCAGGTGAAAAACTGCAGGAAACCTTTGACCTCTGTAATCACTGATTTTTCTGAGGTGTTAAAATACTTTTGTGCAGCTGTATCATACAAATAAGCTTCATGTCTGCTTGACATTTTACAGCATATGAACCAAACTTTTAACTCTTGGTGTCTTTGACCGAGCCTCTCAGATTCTTTGTGTCACTTTATTTCTTCACTCCAGTTCTTTCCGGCTGAGATAATGGTTTGTAGTTTACTCAACAAGAATATGTAGGTCTTAGAAATCAGTCTACAGTAGAATATTTGGATTTTATTTATTGGAAAAGAAAATGAAAGTTTGAAAAAAAACGTATTTTTCGGCTTTCTCTATCCTGTTGTCTAAATGTCCTACTTCTTAGGTCTTACCTTCATTCCTTCCCTGTTGCCTTTGACCTAGTTGTCCTGCCTTTCCTTCCCGTCTTGTCTGCAGTCCTTTTTTTTTTTTTTTTTTTACAGGTGACCTTCCTCTATGATGGGCCTTAATCTCATTTCTCTTCCAGTTTGTTCCTTGCTCTACCTCCATGTCATCATGCCATGTTCTGTCCTTGCCCCCACTTATCTTCATTCTGTGCCCTACCTCCATTGGCATTTGTATTTTAAACACTTTTACTTAAAATTAGGCTATTTTACTTTTGTCATTACCTCCTAGCTTTCTTTTAGGCTTGCTTTTTCTAATAAGCTTGAATTTGATCAAATTTGAATCAAATAGATTTTTTTGAGACCATACTTATTTATTTCCTCTCTTTTTAAACACTTGAGCAGAGGAAGGAGATCCAGCTTTAGCGCAGATGGAGGACAGGTTTGTTAGACAGCCAAAAAGGCTTGGAGCTAAAGCTGTTAGAAATTGGAAAAAATAAAATGAAAGCAGCCATTGCTTGGAGTCTCACAACTGAATTACCGGTAGACTAAAATGGAACTAAAACCAATGCAATAAAACTGCTACTAGTAATCAAATTTCATTAAGGGCATGTTCTTTTTTCTGGGGGCGCCCTGGTTAACCCTTAAGTTCAGGAGCATTTACATACACACTTTCTTTTACCTTTTAGTCACCATTTCTCCCTCATGGTCTTTGCTCTCTTCAGATTATAAACTCGATTTATTCCTTAATAAATGACGAGAGCTAAAACTGAACATTTTGGTTTTTATTTAAACCAAACAGAAGCAGTTCTCCTGCCACAGTGTAAACAACTTCTCACATATGGTACAAACAAGCAGGAACAAGGAAAATCAAAGGCAGTCCTCTTTAAAGCCAGATGAAGTGAGAAGAAAAGGAGCAAACAAAAGACGTCACATTGTGTCTGAATTTGTTCTTGTATGTTTTCCATTACATCAGGAATCATTAAAGAAAATGTTGGCGCGACTGGAAGTGTGACTTTTCTCCAAGGTGGGCTGGCGTCAGCCATCAGGTGGTTGGATCTGCAACAGGAAGCGCTTCCAGATCTACACCACTTCCTTCCTGGTCCGATCAGTTTAATAGGCAGAAAGATGCTATGATTTGACCTCTGAGCTGAAATTCAAACAACTCCTTCACACCAAAACAGGTTTCTCCAAGAATTAAGAGTTGGTTGCAAACAGTTTAATACCTTTACTTTGTAGAGCCTTCATGTTATCTTCTCTAAGTCTTACTCTCTTGCAGCCTGAACAAACAATTGATAACCATAAAGGTTTTAAAACATAAATTTTTTTCCCTCTTTACATTTTAAGTTTCACCAATACTGAAAACGGTCAAATTACCTAATGCTTCAACTGGAACATTTCTCAGTGCTTCAATTAAAAAGGAAAAAAATCAAGCTAATGATTTGGATTAGTCCTAAGGAGCTCTTTCATTTTTATTCATCTGATGGGTAATAATCAAATCAATGATGAAAAGCATGTCTTTCAATACCTGTGTGGAAGTTTCTTTAGCAGACTCTTTTTGGACACTGACCTGTTCACAGGTCTGAAAGTTACTCATTTGCTCCTTTGTGCTCAGTCATAAAGTACGCACAATCTAAACTACTTACAGTCACTAATCTAGGACTCACCTAGTCAACAAAACCTTAAACGCCACTCCAGTTTGAACTACTTCACACGGCTTTCACTGCAGAGCAGGAGCCGTGATCTGCAGCTCAGACCAGAAGCGACAAACTCTACTACCAAAAGCCACAACAACAAATTCAGCTTTTCTACACCTTTGTACCACTTTTTTTTTTTTTATCTTCTTTGAAGATCTAAAAAATTTAAAGCAAAACTCAAAAAGCCATTTTCTTCACGTGACCCGTCTCAAAAAGCAGGTTTGGCTCAGATAGGGGAAAAACTCTTACGACCAGGATGGTGCAGCGGTATTTCAGTCTTAGTTTATCCAAAAGCTTTAGGTTGAGGAAGCGACTGGTGTGTTTAGTGTTAACCTCTAGTTTCTACCTGTCGGCCGGATGTGGAGCTGAGGTTTGGAGGTAGCTGTTTTACAGGTGTGGGAACAAGGTCATTTTAAGGACCTGAGTGTGAAGATGCCAATTTGCTTTATTTTGTGCCCAAACCAATGCATCAGTGCGAGTTGGGCTGCTCCACTTTGATGCCGACCAGTGATGGAGGCATCTGGCATCCAGTGGAAGAGGAGGAGCTGGGAGGAGAGCCCCTGAGGCTAGAGGAGGAGGTCACTGCAGGCCGGATGAGCGGAGGGGGAGGGTGGTTATGTGGCGCTCTGCTTTGGAGTGGCCGCGTCTGAAGAGGAGGCGGTTGGCGGAGGAGGCTCGGTGGTGCAGAGGGGGGAGCTGGGCGCAGTAGAGGGGGAGGCTGGGAGAGGGAGGAAGGAGTGACTGAGGCAGAGGGGGGAGAGGAGCTGCTGGTCGGATCTGGTGGGGAGTCTTCCATCTTGACCTGAGAGGGAGAGACGACAGTTTGGTTCAGGTGGTAAAACAATCTTTTATGAAACATTAGCATCCATCATCTTTAACTGGGATCTAATGTTCCTCAAAACAGGCCTCACCTCTTCCTCCTCCTCCTCAGCTCCTCCGTCTGGAGCTGCCACCTCCTCACTGCTCCTTCGGGGGTCCCTCTGGTCTCTGCTGGTGGCCACCTGCTCGGCGGCCCACTCCCTCAGCACCTCGTCAAGGTTGAAGCGGCGCCTGTAGCTAACGAAGAACGAGCTCACCTGGACAGTGAGGGATGGAGAGAAAATTAATTACAAACGAGGGCTGTTAGATTAAAGGAAATGATTAACAAAGATGCAGCAGGTGGTCAGATAAAGCAGAGAAGGCTCACCTGAGGGGCCGTCTTGGTCCCGATCACCTCAGCAATGGCTGTAAAGTCTTTACCATAACGACGAATGGCTGAAAAGGAGACATCAGGTTAATATGGTCTTCAGCCATAGAACGCTCTGCAACATGCTACAGCTGAATGAAGAGCTTTCTTTATATGTTCACGGTTAACCTACATGTGAGCACACCTGCTTCCAGCAGGCCCAACCTTCCTGCTCATGTTTAAGCAGGAAACCTGCGGTTGGGTCAATGGAGAAACGTCTGCAGCTGCTGGGAAGGGAAGCGTTTCCTTTCTGGGCCTCAGCTGTTCTTCATGTAGAACCTAATGCTTTTCTGTGGAACCCTACAGGTCCACTCCGTTTGCTATTAATCAAGTTGGGCTATTCTTTAGATTCAATGTTTCTTACATATTATACTTTAAGTTTGAAGAAAGGTTAGCAGTCACAGGAAAATGATGGCTGTTCCAGAAAACATCTGAAGACTGATTTCACCTCTTTCAATGGAGACAATATTGAAAGAAAAGTAGGGAAAAAAAGAAAAACGGTAGAGTGGTTTTCTGGTTGTTTTTTTCTACAATGATGAAATATTTGCAATGAAGTGCGTTTTATATTGTAAAATAGTCACTCTTTAAAATCTTCCGTTTTGGAAATACTAAGAGGTGATGATTAGAAATTCAATTTTTAAATATAAGTCACTGTTATTTTTTTTTATTTTTTTTACACAAGCAGTTACAGATGAGCTTTTCCTAGAGCATGTAGAAGTCCCTTCATGCTTCCGTAATACAAATATCTCAGCTTAGTTTCCACTCATTCTCTACACTATTTTAGCTCTCTTTATAAATAAATAAAAATCTAAATAAATGCTCATGGCCAAAAGTCTCATCCTGTGGGCCGCTGATCATTTTAAGCTTTTCTAATCCACATCTGGACTCAGCCTAGGTAACAATGATTCAGAATGATTGCTGTGCCTACGGCCCCAGCAGCAGTTCAAGCTATTGCTGCTCTCTAATCAGAGCAGAGTCAGTATCTACATGTTCTTGTAGAAGCTTTGCCTTTTTGAACGCAGCGTAGACGACTGCGGGAAGCTGAGCAGAAACAGATTCTGGTGTGAAACATCTAAATATGGACTTATTGATGTTGTACCCCCACATGAATCTCATTTTAAAAAACAGTCAAAGTTTCCCTTCAAAAGAAAATCTACAGTTGATTATTTTCCCCCAGGGCTAAAAATTTGATGACTTGTTCAAATGTTTGAATACACCCTCTGTTAGTCTGTCTATTTGACTCCAATTCTTAGCAGAAATAAAAATGTTAAATTATTTGGTGTAATTGCAGGAACTCTGCTCGGCCCATGAAGTCTTAAAGGCTGCCCCATCTTTATTATATATTTACTGTTATTGAGCCCCAGCTGAAGGCACACACACACTGATGGTGGGTGTGTTTGTGCTACATTGTAGGGAGAGCTGCCCCAGGGCTCACTGACAGAAGTGAGACTGCCATACACAGCCTCCACAAGACTCTGACCACCATCATGGAGTCAAGCAGGGTCAGAACTGGAGTTCATACCGGCAACCCTGGCACCATGACTTTTAAAGTCTGCTAGCCAAAAAAACCATGATGGTATGATTTAGCCTGGAACCAGCTGAAGTGGAGCTTTGATAACGATCTCCATGCGGCGCTGAATCATTCTAGAATGTTGTTACTGAAGGTGGATGTAATCTGGAGTAGATCAGCTAGCTTGATTCTGAAGATTCAGATGTTATTTTTTTAAGAGAACTTCAGTAAATTTGTGGATCAGAGTTTCTTTTTTTCCATTGTTTTGGTCTGGGTTAAATTACTTAGCAACTGGAAGGATTTTTGGCCGTATTTTTTTCCCTTTATCATCCGATATGATGCATAGCATTGACTACCATGGCATTTTCTTTATTTTTAAACATAACCAAGAGAAGCTCTCTTAAGCTGTAATAAGACTTCCAGACGACTTTGAAAAGCATGTGCAAAGGATGAGGGAGAAGAGAGAGGAGCAGGAAATTCAAGCCCTCTCTTCCATCGATTGTTCAGGCAATGTAAGATCTTTAGAAAGATCTCCAAGCCCGTTAAAGAACCCAGCCAGAATATTGTCAATGCAGGATTATGTGTTGTACTGAAATATGGCTGCAATGGACCCAGAACAGTTTGGCTTTTAATAAAGGCAAAATCCTAAAACAATTATTCAGGTTTTGTAGAACACCAAAAAGAGAACTGTAGTGTATATATCAAATAATGGTGCATATTCGTTTTATTATTTCTTTTCTTCACAAGTTTGGACCCCTCTACATAGCCTATGCAAACGGTTAAATTAAAAGCTAAATAAAATAGATTAATGTCCACTATATAAGTTAGTAAACCTCTGACTGTGTGACTACCTATAAAGTATTTAGAACAGCCACATGATTTAACAATAGGATGGTGTAGAGAAGCTGGGAGCTGGTGCAGCACAGACAGTTCCTGTGTAGAGAATATGAATGTGTTGTCTGGCTGTGGATGTGAGGCAGAAAGGACAGACAGGAGACTCTGGGGGAGGGGGAGAGGAGAAGGAGGCCTGGCTTTTACTCACCCTGCACAGCCAGCAGCTGCTCCTCTGTGGTCCAACGAGAGTTCATCTTTGGGGCAGGCTGAGGAGACGAAGGAGATGGAGGGGGTGAGAAAATAAAGATGGCGAAGGAAAGATCAAGACTAATCTGTCTTACATGTTAGAAAAAAACTTTGAGGTTGTTGAAGGAGAGACAGAGCACCGAGACAAACTAAATTATCTACAGAGTAGATAAAATGGGATAAGTGGACAATTTTCAGTAACAGAAACCTGAGTTTTACCTCTGCAGGTCTGAATGCATCAACACCTTCAGTCAGGCTCTGTTTCAAACTGCTGTTGGTCTGTTTGGCCGCCTGAACCTGAGAAAAATTAAACAAAACCAAAACATTTAAAGCACTAAATTATCTAAGAAATCAGTTCAGATATGTAGAAGTAGAATCCTGGGCTATGAGCTTTAAGATATAACCCAATTAAAAGTAGTCTTACCAAGTTTAAAATAATCTCACTAACCGTTTTTTCTGAGATGGAGCAACTTATTTAAACTTCCCTTTAGATGTTTTAGGTGTGAACTGGCCACTGGAGCTAAAATGGATCACTGATAACTTTCAACCTCTATCTAAAAAATATGCTCATGGCCCATAATGATAAACTGTGAAAAACAATCAATAAGAACTGGAATTAATACACGTTTTCCTCGCTCTTCTCTTGAAACCAGTTTGCTACATGAGTGTTTTAGTTATTAACAGATCCTAATAGCTTTCCTTTAACCTTTGAATGATCTACAGAAAAAAATTATGCTTTAAATAATATGTATCACCAGAAGGTCCCTCAGAGGTATTCTGGTTTAAACAGAGTTCTAATCAGTCTTTGTTTATAGAAGTTAAAGTCGTAGGGAAACGGCTGTTCCAACCTTTACATTTCCGAATTCTCCCGAGTGGTGCCCGACTTTACACAAGTGAATAAAGTGAATGTGATTGGTCGATTATCAAGGGGGTGGGATTGTTGTGGCGGAAGGTTTGCAAGCATGTTTGGTTGTGTTTGTCGGAAGCATCTTGCTAATCAGTTAGCAACTTAGTTCTAGTAGGTTCCCAATGGGAAATTACATTGGGACCAGGTAGCACTTAGCAACGACACTGAAGGAACGCTATGGACAGCAGAAACATGCAAGAGGAGAGTTTTGTGGCACAATGCAAAATTTTCATCAAATCAACCTTTTTTTAAGATTTCAAAATACTGTTGTACAAAAGAAAAATGTCATTTCTTTAGAATATAGGTACAAAAACAAGTTGGCACAACATAGGGACATTGTTTGCTGAAACTGACCTGGCACCAGTTAAATGAATGCTATAAAGTTGACTTTCAAGAAGAGACCTTCTCTAGCTGCATTTCACATGTTTGTAACAGATCATTCTTCTTATATAAGAGGCTTTATATATAAGAAAGGCTTTCATGTGACCAACCAGCTAATAGAAACATAACGGTGCTGCTTTAAAAACTGGTCTCACTTCTTTTCTGTGGATCTCTAATTCCTTTAGCTAAAGTAAGATCACTGAAGGTATGACTCAGTTCATGTAAGATACTGATGGCTCATAGCCTCTCCACAGGATCCAGTTTCATAAACCCAATGAATTTACAGTATTCTATGCCAGTAATTTATTTTTAATGCAAAACAGCTTTCTGATTAAATCATGTGCCCTGATGGCTTAATATATAATATTTCCCTATTTTTACACTTTGTTTCTGCTCTGTTAGTAAATTTAGGCATTTAGTGGACTTATAAGAGACCATGTGATTGGAGGCAATAATGCTGAAGATATCAAGTTAATGGATGTGAGTATAAGAACTGCCAGCAGATGGCGACAGTGTAAAACCGAAAGAAGTGGTTTGTGAAACAATTCAGAGATTTCTAAACTTGATCAGCCTGCAACACTCTTCAGTGTGGCGACATTTACTGAAGGAGGACCCATAGGAGAAGGTGCTACAGCAAAGTGTGCTACAGCAAAGTGCTCAGATCATCCGTCATGGAGGACGCAGGATTTGGAAATATCCCAGTGTAATTAATGATAGAACGGAGGGAATGCCGTGAAAACATTTTAAATTCTATTATCTTTTCCTCTGAAATAGTTTTACTAAGAAATGTAGAATCTAATTCTTTATTTAAAAAAAAAACAGATCAGAAAATAGCCACAAAACTCTAGTAAAACCAGTTTAGCTACAAGGAAGAAAGCAATTTAGTGACATTGGCATATAAATCTGCTGTTATGTTGTTGGAACATGTTAAAATGGCACATAACTCTGCTCAGGAGGGTCTCAACAAGAAGCAATAAAAAAATAAAATGCCTTATGTTACCCTTGAGGAACAATACGCAGCCGTCCACATTTTTATTAATATATAAAAGAAGGTCCTTTTATTTCCAACAGATGCTAAAAGGGGATCAGTCGTTTGCTTAGTGAGGTGGGCCTGATGTTGTTGGACAGCCTTTAGTGAGGAGAATCTCTGAAACCCACCCACCTGTCTCTTGAGCGACACCAACTGTCCGTCCAGCTGACGTATGGACAGAACTCCAGCGTCTTGAGAGGTGGACAGAGCTGTGATGTCCGTTTGGTCGAGGTGCATGCCTTTGGGTGGTCTGCGGCGAGCTCTAAGCGGGTGATGTCTGTATTGAGCCCCGATGCTTTCCTTCTTCACTGGCCCAGACCGGCTGGGGATGGCTTTGTCTGAACTGGTGCTGTTTGTGTTCTGTTTTACTGCCTGAGTGGAAGGAAGCGTCTGTTTTAAGACTGTTTTTATAATTCTGGAAGTTTGGATTTGTAGTACTTGCCTCTTTTTTGGCATCAACCTCAAAGTCGCTGTCATCACCAGGCTCTCCTTCCTCAATCTCATCATTGCTGCATTAGAAAAAAAACAAAAACCACCAAAGGTTAAACAACGTTGGTCTGCACTACAACTCCCCCTTCTTCCTGCTTCTCATCTAACATTCAACATATGTAAGGAGGGAAATAATGAGTCTACCTCATTTATATTCATGAGATTTGTTTTCCAGGATGAAGTAACAATCAGGCATTATTTAACAAAGAAGTTCTCTAAATGTCAGATTTGATCAGAGATGCCTGGGATCTTTAATTCCTACAGACTCCTTCCTACAGGTACCAATAGAAGCTTTCAAACCTGTCATCCTTCTCTCTCTTGTTGATGAGCCTCCTGGCCTGTCGGTCCATCACTGAGGTTCTGGACCTGGTCTTCTTCCAGCTGTAGTAGTATTTTACTAAGCTGGAGATCAGTTTGTCTGGAAGCTGCAGAACCAAAAAACCAAATAGAAAAGTAAATTACTAGGGAACTGTAAATCCAAGTGACATGTGATACATAATTTCTAGGCTAAACCTTCTAGTTTCCGAAAATATTTATGAAAATAATGTTTTTTTTTTTAATATTTCTGGTTAAAACTCCCCATAAAGCAGTGCCTGGCCTGTCCTGCTGTGGTTTTTATTGTCTGTTCATTTCACTGGTTTTTATTTAGGGGAATCAGAGAAGTGTTAGGGTTAGGCTAATGGAAAATGCTTGTTGTTTTGTAAATGTTTTGTTAACTATATATCACTTTAAAATACTTCACAATTTCGTAGCACTTAAAGTTGATCTACCACATTAAAACAAACCCACATTTTTTTAAATAAATTTGTTGATTGAGGAAACAGATTAGTGATAAACATCAAGAAAATAAAACATTTTCCTCATTACATTTTTTCGTGTCCCCCCCTTTTCCCACTGCTGGTCCGGGATGGTTAGTCCTAGTTTATCGTTCCAAAGATATTTAAACATAAGATGTTGTGTTATGTATTGTCTGTCTGTGTTTCTTGCCATTACGTACCATCTGCTGGATGCGGTGGAAGCTCTTGCCATGGAAGCTGAAGGCCTGCTCAAACAGCACCTTGTCCTCAACCGTCCACTCGTCTGGAAAAGGCGTGAAGTTGGCCAGGTCGGCCAGGGAGCGCTCCACGTCGTGTTTGTGCCATAATAACATCCCCAAAGACTGATGGGAACAAAGACCCAGGAAGCCAGGAACAGAGAAGCTTACCAAATGTGTTTTTATGAATTTTATAATCATATTTAGATGTAAATCATACCTGCTCCATGTTGTATCCGTGTTTTTCTTTAGCCATTAGGATGTACTCATCCACTAGAAATGAAGAAAACAATTAACCACAGATGAAAAAGATAAAGATGATGGCCAGGGTTATACATTCTCTGTAGATGGATGTAGAGTCAGTTTGTGCAGCTTACACATTGTGTCTGAGAGCTGGCTGTTGGGACACCAGACCAGCATGCTCCTCTGGTCCTTCTCATTGTAGCGGGTTGGACTGTCTGATGACGACAACAGAAACATTTTAATGGATGGAAGTTAAACTATATGGATACGGTCTAAAATCACCTATATTTTTACACTATTTTGTAAGCATATCCATAACTAGGAAATCTTCTCTGAGCTTATTTATCTAAAACGAGCAGCGCACATAAATCAACACAAATGTTTCAGTCCGTCATGTAAATATGGTAGATTAGGCCATAGGGCTTTATTTTCATTTGCAGTTCTCTGCAGGTTGATGGCCTTGAACAATATTAAAACATTAAATCACATTGTTGTTAAATTAAAAATGTTCTCCATCTCCTCCCTCTCTCACTTCCTCAGTTTTATCCTCAGCTTCATGTATACCGTTTCCTCTCTTCCAGCTCACCTGGTTTGAACTCTGGGATCTGGGCTTGGTAGTCTCCCCCGACTCTGATCATGCTGTCTGTGTTTAGGAGCAAAGTAAGAAAAAGACTCTTTACCGTCTGCATTAACAATGATAAGAATGGAGCTCAGATACTTTTACATTATACACTGCTGCCTCTTTAAGACATTATTTAATTTCAAACTTCTATTGTTCAGGGTAGAGGAGAATAGTGCAGCATATATTTATTTTCTGTGATAAATACTCCACCAGACAATTCAGCAACATTTTAGAAAAAAATGAAAGACACAAAGCAACAGCAGAGGCTGACTTTAAGTTATTAATACTTTGTCTAACAATCTAGGAAGAAAACTGTCTAGAAGAGAGCAACTAGAGGACAGAGAGTGTTAGAAACAAGAATACACATTAGGCTTTCCTCAGGGACAGAGGATTGGAAAGGAGAAGCTGAGGGTGATTGAAACACGAGTAGATATATCACATGAGTAAAAGGAGTAAAGAAGAGAAGACTAAAGAGGGGGATGCTAAGAAAGGAAAATGTTCCTAAACTAAAACTTTAACACAAATGAGCAAGAAGAAGAGCTAGCATCAAGCTTATTTACCTGTTAAAATATATAAGTGCTGTGTATAGGCATTTAATCAACATCATGCGATTCAAGGAGTGTGTTTACCATGAGCGTGCTCTTCATCGCTGCTCTCCTCCTCGGAGTGAGGTTGGCTGTTTCCATTAGTGACTGTTTTGGCCCTGCTCCTTGACAGGACCCCAGCCCCAGAGCGCTCCATCACTGAGGGCATGACTGCAACAAACACACACACGCCATCAGTGGAGAGCTTCATTTCTTATAGATTAAATCTACAAATTAGGCTGGATTATTTCTGCAATAAAATACAAACTTGAGTCATTTAAAACAGATTGTGTTCTACACCTTGCGTCTCTGCACTGCACTGCACTGCACTGCACTGCATATTGTTCTTAAATTAAGGAGGTAAGTAAGCCAATGGAATAAAACAGCGTACATTTAAAATAAGAAAAAACTATTGTATTGTTTTATTTCAAGTGCACATGATGTAATTATCTTACTTTAAGAATAGCAATACTCATTCCATTGGCAAATCATGTTCTTTATGCAATTATGCATAAATCATCTTGTTTACCTAATCAACTTAATGGTAAATAGACTTAAATTAAGAATTGTTTACTTATTTCTAGATCATTTTTGCAGTGTGCACCAAATAACGTCATTAGCAGAACTCTGGAGACTTTCCACCATATCAAATCTGATACATGGCTGCGATTAAAATTGTGCATTGCTGACAAAACTTGTGGTTAGCTGCTGGTGCTGATTTTATGCCCCCCACAAAAACCAGCAAGTTAATGTCTTACACATAGTTCTTTTTTTTTTAACCAAAAACTACATTTGTTTGCAAAGCTTGCAAAATGAAATTTAGTGCATATATATCATATATTCTTTTTACATGCAGTGTTATGTGCATTTTTTTTAACCTGCTCTGTGTACTGAGTAGGTAGGCTCAGACAACAGACGGCTTAGTAAAATGTATAATGTTCTGAGAAAAGCAAAAAGTTTTCAAACCAGGAAATGAAAAATATAAAGAATACAAAGGATTTGTATTCAAATAATTTAAAAAAATGTTAGCATTAGCTTGGCATTATAGGAACATGCGAGTAGGATCAGAAACAGTTATTTTGTAGCTATTGATTAAACTAAGCAAACACATCCAACAGTCAGACTCCAAAGAAATAGAAGACTGTCCCCAGAAAACTACTTAGTGAAAATCACAGTAAAAATAACACTACATTTTGTATCACATTATTGAGTTTTTAACCATTTTAATGGAACCACTTTCAACGTCAAGATCAATTCATGCGTCAGACTGAGATTCAACATACTCATCTGTTTTTAGATCTGAATTAAACACGAGGCATTATGATAATAGAGAATAAAATACATTGTTTTAAACTGCACTTTCATTTAACACATCGGAAATTAATCAGAAGGGATTAAAAGATTCCTGTGGGATTTTTTTTTTTTTTTTTTTTTTTTTTTTTTTTTAAGAGTAAAACAGGTTTAGGTGTATTTTGTGTCTGCATTTCTGAATATTGTTCTTGTTTTTTAATTTCAATTAATCTCTTTCTTCTTTAACTTGACAAATGTTCACCACTGTACTGACTGCAAAGGCAAGCAAGAGAGGTTATCGACCTCAGGTGATTACCAACAGAGAGGGATATCATGATAATCTGCATCTGTTTTTTCTCTTAGAACATTCATGAGTCAAAGCATTTAATATTAATTGGATATTTCACTTGCTTTTGTAATGACTTATACATGTAAGTCATTTTAAGCCTAGCTGAGCAAAAAAGCAAACCATTAATATACAGGGTTGCTCTTCTAGCCATCTCAAAACATTTCTTGGTCTTCTAAGCCACTGTTAACAGAACAGACAACTATTGTCCCAAGGAGGAAATGTCTAAAAAGAACACTTATTCTGAATGTGAGGCAATGTTAACAGCTCTAATGAGTCCAAGTGTCACTAGTCCTTTCAGAAATATCCTTCATGTCCTACTGAAAATAGTTTGTATTAACCAGGATTTGCTCCAAACAACATTGTCCAAATGTGTGGTAAATCATCCCATCCTCTTCTCCTGCAGTCCTTTAAGCAAAATCAAGGAAGGGTGCAACATCTAGAAGCTAGCTACATGCAGAATGATTACGGGCATTAACCTTTTAGGTTTAGCTGCAAACAGGAGCAACACTGTGGGCTTCATTTGGTCTTTGGCTACATTTCCTTTGGAACTAATTCACCAGGGCCTCGAGCATTTGCACTTTTAAAAACAAAAACATAAATGCAACAGGTAAATCAGGGCAAAATGGTGTTGATTGATAGGTCTTTTAATTACCGTAGTAATCCTTGGATTGCTTTGTCATTGACTAAGATAAATATGACGTGAATAGAAGAACAGAATAGAAATCAAACTTTATTGATCTAACAATGGAGAAATTAACTCTCTGCATTTAACCCATCCCCTTTGGGGAGCAGCAAGTTGCCACTGTGTGGTGTCTGGGGAGCAGTGTGGGGTTAAGGGTGTTGCTCAGAGACCCTAAGTGCGGGCTGTGGGGGTCAAACCAGATTGCAACCTTCTCAGAGCACAAGGGCACTGATCTAACCACTAGGCCACACTCCCCCAGCAAAGGACCACGGTTGGCCGTGTCGAGAACTAAGGCCTCCGTACCTGGGTCGCACACACTAACCACTGAAGCACGCCAAATTAAGTTAGCAATTTTCCTTTGTCACTCTACAAAATTGAAAAACAAGAAAATGAGCTGTTTAAGTATAAATGTACATTTGTTGATCTTTACAGGCCAGGAAACAGAAAAATGTGCCAAAAACATATGATCAAAGGTTTATGAGAACTATAACTAGGATTAAAAAAAGGTGAGTTGTCTTGCTGCCAACTTCTGAGGAAAACAGTAAGTGGGGTAAAAAGCAAAAAAAAAATAAAAAGGCTAATTTTTGGTATGTGCAAGCCTTTATCACCATAGTTTAGTCATACCTGTTGATATCAGTTCACTGATTAAATCTTACATGCTGGCTTGTCCCGAATCAAAATTTAAAATACGAAATTGATCTTTATGACAGTTACACATCTTTTTCCTGTAGTTCCATAGACGTAAAGAACAAACAGGGTGTCAGATTAAATGCAAATATCATTTAAAGGAGCATAGTACAACTTCCAGGGTTTTTGCAGAGATTTACCCCTTCTGGCGACAAGTTGAAATAACACCAGTGCCGTGCACTTGCATGGGAGGAGAGAGGAAAAGAAGGCATCTGTCGTTGCAATTTTGCAGATCTTTGTTTTAGAGGAATTCTGTTTTCTCAGGCAAGAAATGCGGATATTTGTAAGTTATTTTAAAAGGTCTCTTTTTGATGATCCTACATTTTCTTACAGCTCCCCCTATTTTCCCTCATCTTATTCCATCTCCAATCAGACACCAGTTTGGCACCTTCCATTGCTTTGGACATTAGCTCAGTTTTCCTATTGCTGTGTTGAGTCTCTGATGGGGTTTGAGGAACACTTGTGGCTTGTCTTTTGTAATCCATCTTTAAAAACCGTGCCTGTCGTCTCTCAGTAATGTGTGTGGAGACTTGAAATAAGTATCATCGCGCAAATGCCAAGGTATGTATGGAAAAGAGATAAGGTAAAATAAAAAACTTGAAACTTGTACGATGCTCTTTGTTGGGCGTTTTTCAGAACCACACATGTCCAACACGACATAAAAATTCATTGCCATTAAAATCAAAATTAAATAAGTAAATCAGTTCATAGCATATTTATATATAAAATTTTATCTGATTTTGCAAAATCAATTTTTAAATAAATATATAGGACCATTCATCTGGAATTACTTCATTAAAGATCTTTAAATATCATAAATTAAACAATGTTTATCTATCTTACGCAAACACACAACCAATGTCATCCTAAGGTACTTTAAGTGGAAAAAGGTCTAATTTAAATCTAACATGGAACCATGTTCATAAAAAAAATGTGTCCAAATCAGTACAGTTTAGTATAATCATTACCTAATGCAGATCCAATCATAAAAACATAAATTACTCCAAAGGACAAGACAAAATAGTCAAACTTTGCTGAACACATACAGCCAGTTTGTAAAATGTTATCATAGGTAGCTCTGTTGACTGCATCCAGTCATTGACCTTGGAACAATCCCTCATCAGCCATTGACCTCCCTTATAAAATCGAAAATCTGTGAAAAGTGTTAAAAAGTTTGAAGCATAACCGAAGCAAAACTATAAAAGATATGAAAAATAACGGGAGTAGGCAGAAGCAGTCAAAGGGCAAAGTAGCAGAGGTGTTAGCGGATTTTTTGCAGAATTCCATTCATTTCTATGGGAGCAGAAGAAGCTGAATAGTTTAAAAAGTATAAAAGATAGACATACCAAAAAGATACAGTGACCATGTCCTAAAAGTGCTGAATATTATAGAAGTTGAATGGTTGAAATAGCACAAAGTATGCAGAAATAATTAAGGTCCAAACAGAACATGAACAGAAGCAACCAGAAGAAGCAAAAGAAAAGAAAAAAAAACAGGATCTCAATAGTGTGAATACTGTAAGGCATTCGCACAATTATAACCTCACTAAATGCCAAGCAGGTTATTTAAATTTCCCAAAAACAGAGGAAACAAAACGATATTTATGAGCATCCTAGATGAGCATGGGAGAATCATTGTAGCAGCACTTTAATCAGTGCTTATAAATGCAAGTCTCTTATTTTAGAGCAGCTTCAAATTAGTGTAGTTTTTTTGTAGTTTTAGTGAGGAATAACTCCAGATGCAGATCCACACAACAAGTAATATTAGATCATAAACATTATTATGTATGCTTGAACTTTCCTAACCCTAATCCTTCCATCAGATCATCATCATCTTGAGTTTCTCAACCGGAACAAAGCAGAGGACGCGAAGTTTAGAGACAGACTCTCTCTACCACGGCTGCATCTCTTAATCAAGCCATTCAGATTGATCGGTGTATAAATACACGTCTTCAGCTGAAATATATTAACAATCCGAAAACCTAACATCACACCAGCCATCAGCAGCAGCAGCAGAAGTCAGACAATGCAAGAGGCTCTCTGGAGGTCTTTTGTCTGTCGCTGCACCCTGATGCCCCCCCTCCCTCTCCCTTCCCAACAGCAGCTGCCCCGTTTAACTTCACCGGAGAAAAACTAAATAAACAAAGAAATAAACTCGTAATTAAGTAACCGATGTTACATTAACAATTCGGACATCCCCATCTGAGCGGAACGAGACTCGATTCCGCTCAAGATCACTTTCACAGAGTTTGCAATGCGGGGGGTCACGGTAGCCTCGGCTAAGGATAGCCTCGATCAATTTGAAAACTAGTAAAAGCACCAATAAACTAAATGATATACGCTCATTAGATTGCTAACAGACCCAAACATATCTAAAACTATTCGGATACACGTTTAAAATTGTGCTTTAATAACTTTTAAAACAGCATATGTGTTTTATGATAAATATATATACACAATTATATACATAAAAATACATCATTATAACGACCCCTCATTATTATTGTCTTCTTATTCTTACTTACAATTAATGCTAACTTATAGCGTGCTTATTGATTTTTAAAGTTACATCAGTTCATGTTTACCTCAGGAGTATGAATAGATATTTTTTCTTAGGTAATATGCCCATTGCCAGATATTTATGGTTGTAAAGAAAATTTACTGTTTTTGTTTTTTAAATAATAAAACGAAGGATTTAGCAGATTTTCTAAACAGTTTCTGATGCGTGGCGTGTGTCATACTTTGGGGTCCTTTTGTTGTTTTTTTCCTCAATGCTAGGGTCTCTCTTTCTCTGAAACTTAAAACAACTACTTTTCGACTCCTTTTGGCTGAATTTTACGGTTCTGTCTCAAAAAAAAACTTACGGTCAGGATAAAACTGTTAGAATTATTTAAAAAATAACAAGCAATAAATAAAAATTAGGCGACAGAAACTCGCCCTCTCCCCCCCTCCTCCTGATAAAGTGCAGTTAGAAGTCCTCGGGATGCTAGCATTAGCCACCTAGCTTGCGGGCGGCTCGTACCCCCCGCGTTACATTAGTAACGTCGGTAGTTGGAAGTCGAGGTTACAGTCACACTCTACCTGCCTTCGGGTTCTTCTCCGCTGTCCCCCCTGCTCTCCAAGGAAACAAAAAAACTTATCCGGGGCCACTCGTCCACGATAAATAATCCTCCTCAAAGTTGGGAAAGGGGCTCAGTTAAAGCATCTACAACGGCTTAATTTGTGCCTAATTGATGAGCACGGAGAAGCGTAGGGATAGATGGAAGCAGCCGCGAGTGAGTGTGGGGCGGACAACACCCGCATAAAACTGAGGTGGACATCCGCTCCGCCTCTCCCAGTCAACGGTTTGGATTGACTGAAAGTAGTCCTATGAAACTATTAAATTTAACCTCCCATTATATAGGAATTTATAACGAGTAGATATAACACTTCAAATGCAAAGATGAATAACGTTTCACTGAGTGACTAAAACCAATTACTTAAAGGAATACGTTTTTTAAACAAGCAGCATGTTACTTTCCACTGACACCGCTATACAGTCAGTGTATAACAATGCAACAGATTATTAGAGTGTAAATAGCCCAAACATTAGTTAATATAAAGTCCTATCTACCGTCCATCAAATTCCCATAATTTAGGGTCTACTTGCCAATGTGCCGGCGGAGTGATTCGTCAGCTGTGCATCTGTGTGCAAAGGCAGGCTGTCCAGACTTGCACTGGTGTCTGCTTGTTGGAAGAAAGGGTAGAGTTCTGGGTACAACTCTATGGAAGCCCAGACGTGCCAGCTTTTAAAATAAAAAGGAAAATAGGTTGAAATTTTTGCCCTTTGAAGAGAATGTATATCTTATCATTTTTACACCAATCTAACCGAAGGGAATGTATTTAAACATAGAGTGAAAGGGGTTTTGAAGGAAACATAGTTTAACAACAATAAACAATTTATGCTTGTTGTAAAAGTGTGTATAATAAATAAAATGATCAAACTACTTGAATTACATTCTTATAAACAAACTACCGGAGTTACATTCTTCTGATTCCCAAAGGATACAACTCTTTGACACTTTACACTACAAAGAAGAAATTACCATTCATTTTCAGGTGTCCATAGGTGTGTCAACCATTTTGAAATACAAGCCTTTGATACTACAGTCAACTGGCTCCATCTTTAACATGGAGCCAGTTGACTGCAGGTCTCCTCTAATGATATAAGTCCTCTAAGTGATATAAGTCCTGCACCTTGTTTTATATTTATATATATATATATATATATATATATATATATATATATATATATATATATAAAACACAATAAATTATAAATCCATTTGCCAATTGTGAAAGCTCATGGCAAAATTCCTGCATCTTTGAATGTATGTATGTGCCCATCCCCAAAATTAAAGGAGAAGTCCTGTCATATTCAGAATTCAAACTTCAGAAAGTAATTTAAATATGAAATTATTATATGCTGTTCAATAAATGATAAGTGTTTTTAATCAAGAGTAATTTAATTTGATTGTGCTTTACTGGAGACATCCATGTTTGTCAAAGAGCACTACTGCCCCCTACCCGTTTGTGATGTCACGGTGCGTTATCAGCTGTTGAGCAAGTCCCAGTGCTGCATCTTCTGGTGTTTGTCACAATGCGCTATTATCTAAGTCATCTTGAAAACATTCTTCTTCCAAATGTTGGCTACATATTATGTGTTTTTTCTCTGGCCAGAAGTTTGATGGCAAATCCTCCCTCTTCATGTTGGCAACCTAACAACGAACCTGTCAATGGTGGATCATGAATTGGAAAGGTAAAATAACTAAACTGTTTATCACTTTTATTACAGTGTAATAAAAGTGACTTTTATTACGATGTATTACAACATCCAACTGCCATGCACGTGGGCATTGTCAGTTTAACTATAGCTCTCGAGAATTTCAAACGGGAAGTCCTCTCATAATCTTAAAGGGGAACATCATTTTTTTTACATTGGGACCTTGATTTTATGTTATTACATCATGTTCTACTCACCCATATTAGTTTTGTTTTATTTGGAGCTCTTCCGAAGATATTCAGTTTTGTTATATCCAAGTAACGTATTTCTATGGGCAACGAGTTGAAGGCACAAACTAAACTGTTCATAATTTATCATTTATGGTACGCCAACATTCATAACATGTAGGCGAATCACTGCCCCCCAGCTTAACAGGCAATAAAATGACATCTATATACTTTATTTTAAAAATGGTTAAATTAGTAAAGGGTCCACATTTGTGCAATTTAATCTAATTTTAAGTGTAGGTTTTCTTTGAAGGTATCAGAGGTTTGTTAGAGAACTTTAGTGAACAAACAGCATCATCATGAACACCGAACAAGTCGGGTTAGTAAGGAATTGAGCTGTGTGTACGTTCAAAGCAGGATCAAGCTTTGAAATAATATCCCAAGCTTTGAATAGCTCATCAAAGAGAAAACTGAACAGCAAAATAAACTAAGCATTTTCAATTTCCCTAAAATAAATGGAAATAGAAAAACAAAACTAAAGAAAACCCATGAAATTTTGATGGGATTACAGTTTGCAGGATACTAACAGAGCATTAATTGGAGTGGCCACTGCAGAGATCTGCAGCTCAGATAGGATAATCAATTGACAGGCTCTGTTTGTAATGCATGCCATAAATATGTTCTTTATGTTGTGATACGCAAAGGCATATGTTGAAAAGGCTGAATGTCTGGTCAGATGAGGCAAATTAATAGTTGTTCTACAAAACAAACAAAAACTCAACATCACCCTGTGGTCCTCATTGTGAAACATTACAATAGCATGAGGATATGGAGATGCTGCTACATCATACAGAGAGCTGATGGGAAGATATATGATACTAAACAAAATACTTTCCTAGAAATAAAGCTGCTGGAGGCTTAAAAGATTCAAATCTGGGTTGAAAGTTGACATTCAAGTAGAAAAATGGTGCAAAAGATACAGAATTCAACTATATTGAAGAACATTTATGTGTTGGAACGAGCTAGTCAAAGTTCTAACCTAAAACCAATTTAGGATCTCTGATAATAATTCAACATTTAGGTTCACAGGTTTTCTCCATCACATCTAAGTTAGGGTGAGCTATTTTGCAGAGAAGAATGGGCAACAAGTGAAAGACATACCATAAAAGACATTCAGTGTTTTTTAGATTTTTATTTGTAATATTATCAATGTAATATATGTAATGGACGAACAGACAGACAGAGAGACAGACAGCCAGGCAGACGGACAGATAATGGTAATAACAAAATAATTAAAACAAATATTAATTTTAATCATTTAATCATAGCCTTTCAAATATCAGAATTAAAAGAAGTAACAATTCCAGGCACTTTTCCAAACAATATTTCTTTCTAACATAAAACTTTAGAAACCAGTCCTAACAGAGACGATAATTACTGCCTTCTGTATATCAGCTTGACCTCTAAATGTCATGGTAGGTTCAATTTAGCTTGTGTCCAAAAAAAAAAACAGCACATGGTAACATAAACATTAACTGTGTGTCCTTGTCTGTAGCCCCTTTTTCTTTTTTAAACAGTTTTATAATTAATTATTATTCAATTAAGTTCCTTTAGGGTGGACAAGGGGGCCAAACATTTTGCTGATTGTATGTTTAATGCATTTTACCAAAAAGACAGTATTTCTTTAAAGGTCTGACTCTTCATATATATGTATATATAAAAATACTTTATATTTTGTGTGTAGAATTAATTAATATAGCAACAAAAAAAAAGGTGGGAAAAATGTTAAAAGGCACAGTAGATTTTAACTATTTCCAGAATCTCTAAGCATTTCTTTGCAGACACTTCTCTGGCTCCATAGAGCTATTGGTGTGTGTGTGTCTCTGTGTGAAACAGTGTTTGAACTTAAAGTGACTCAGATGAACAAGAGCGGAATGTTCAGGTTATTATTTTCATATTTAAAACATCAAAAGCTTAAAACAAGTTTCTTGTCTGCAGACATTTCCATGCATCTGGGTGTGCATGCGCATGGAGGGTTGGACAGCTACCCTCGTCAAGGATAGCTATTGCAGCATTCCTCCCACCCGAGGCTTGATATAAGCAGAGTAACACACACAGCCAACCTGCTGTGACCCTTACAGGTGTTACTTGTTGACATCTAGCAGACCGTTAAAGACTCCTCCCCCTTTTTATCATCCTCCTCATCCATGCTTATCTCCATCTCCTCCATCATCATCTCTTATGTTTTCCATCCCTCCCTCCTACTGCTTCCTTCATTTGATTGATAGACCTTCCTGTTCCTGTTCCATCGAGGGGGGGTTGTTGTGCTTCTGTAACTTTCTGTCCTCCTTCTCTCTTCCATGCCCTAATTCCTGACTTCCTCATCATCTTCCTGTCTTTTCTCCTTGTGTAACCTCCCACATTTCCTCCTTCCCTTCTTCCAAATCCTCTTTAGATGACTCCCTCCTTGTGTCTTCTCTGCCCTCATCATCCCACTCTTCTCCATTCTCCTCTTCCTCTTTCCTTCCAGCTTCAACAGTGTGTGTTTGTGTGCCGTGCGTACGTGCAAATTCTTCCCTTCCCCTCCCCCACCCAGTTCGCTTAGCTCACTTACTGCACCTCACCACCACTTCTCCTCCACCAAACCTCACCCCACCCATCCCCTGCTCCTCTTCATTCTCATTTTCACCCTTTGCTCTTTCTCTCCTCTCCTCCTTGTCTTCCCCCTCATTAGTCCTCTCTGTCTCCTGTCCCTAACAAATCTTCCCTAATGAACAACTGTTATATGTCTCCCTCTCATCACCCTCTCAGCTCCCTCCGTTCATCCACCACTGTTCTACCTCCTCTCATATCCTCTGTGCTCCACCACCTCCTTAGCTCTCCACCTGTCTCCTGCCTTCTTCTCGCCTGCCTGTTAATCTGCTCCTCAATAGGAAAACGTCTGCTTTCCTTTTCCTGTTTTCCGCCCTCCT